AGGGGTCCAGAAAAAACTACGGAGTCCGACATCGTTTTTGCATATTCACACACCGAGGCAATATTAATTTTAGTGACCTCCGATTGGTGTCATTGCCGCCGACATGAATAACAATCTTACTGAATCTACGTTTAGCTTTAGCCAGCAGTTTTAAATTTGATTCAATGTCGTCCGCTCTGGCCCCAGGGATACATTTGACTATGGCCACTGGTGTTGCTAACTTCACGTTCCTCAGAATAGAGCTGCCAATAACCAGAGTTTTATCCTCAGCGGGTGTGTCGCTGAATGGGGAAAAGCGGTTGGAAACGTGAACAGGTTGGTGGTGAGCCATGAGCTTTGGCTTGGAGCTATGCCTCTGGCGAACGGTTACCCAACCTCCCAGCTGCACGCTGAAAAAAAAAAAAATTCAATCGGTTGCTATAGCGCCCCCCTTTGGCCAATTGATGTAATATTGCTTCATTCGCATCCTCCCATGACCCTCTACCACTGTGCCAAATTTCATATGGATTGACCAAGTCAGTGAGGAGAAAAACGTGGAACAGACACACAGACACACCCACAGACAGACAGAGTTTTCATCATTATATAGTAAGATAGTAAGATTACTGCATGTCACTAACTCAGCTTCTTCTCTGGAACCTTTGTGCTCCACTGCCTCACAAATTCCCTTGAGTCGCGGCTATGCCTGGATCGTGGATCGTGGTTACACTGCTGTTGTGGTCCTGCCTGATGCCGACTACTACTGCTATTATTATTATCATACTTCTACTATTATTGTACACATATGATTATTATTGCCACATTCATATACTGTCATATACTAATATTTACTTAGAACATATATGCTACCAAAATACTCTTTTTATTATATTATTAGTAAAAATCAGTGTTATCATAGCTATTGTCATTAGTGTCTGCCCTGCATCTTTTTGTATAATTTTGTCATATGAATTACTGTAAATTTATCATGTTGATCTGTTCTGTACTCACAACATCTATTGCATGTCTGTCCATCCTGGAAGAAAGATCCCTCCTCAGTTGCTCTTCTTGAGGTTTCTACCATTTTTATTCTCCATTAAAGTTTTTTTGGGGGGGAGAGTTTTTTCCGCTGTGAGGGTCCAAGGTAAGAGGGATGTCGCATGGTGTAAAGCCCTCTGAGGCAAATTGTGATTTGTGAGATTGGGCTTTAGAATTGAAATTGAATTGAATTGAAAAGCATGTCATTCGGTTTAGAAAAAAAACATCATGGTTTGGCTCTACATTCATACAGGAAGCGGACACTGCGCTCTAGGGTGAAAGTCCAGGCTTTGTTGTATCCATCCACCACCCCTCCAACATAGGGACTTTTCCAGCTCCTTATATTACATTGTTACCAGCAGCGTTTAAATCTGACACTGTCCAGCTGCGTATCATTTGGCTGCAACAGGTGCCATCCGGCTGACTGGTTGCAAAACATTACACCGCAAAAGGTAGCTTTTGGCGTCAGGTGTCCAATGCTGAAATCACTGACAAAGCGGTGGAATTTGATGACTTCGGAATGAGAATGGACTGGTACTTCTCAATTGTTTATGGGTTCTTGAGGCAAATTCCTAATGAGGAGAGGCATCTCTGTGCAAAGTTTCATGTCTCTACGACATACGGGGCACAAGATATGCCCATTCAAAGTTTGCAATTTCATTCGGTTGCTATAGCGCCCCCCTTTGGCCAATTGATGTAATATTGCTTCATTCGCATCCTCCCATGACCCTCTACCACTGTGCCAAATTTCACATGGATTGACCAAGTCAGTGAGGAGAAAAACGTGGAACAGACCCACACACACACACACACACACACAGTTTTCATCATTATATAGTAAGATAAGATAAGATAAGATTAGATATAGTAAGATATAGCAAGATGAAAAAGAAAATAACAGTCTTTTAATTTATGCCTTAGCAATAGCCACTCTTGGAGAAGATCTGACTGAGGGGATTCAGGCCTACTTTTCATGCTCAGGCTCTAAATTCTTTCTCATCCTGCCATTCACCCTTTGCACACATGCTCACTCACTGTCTCTAGGTGTCATTGTCTGGGTAGGTCAATTGAGTCATGAGTTGATTCACAATCAACCAATAGCACAGCGACACACCTTCTCTGTCAGCCTATCATGTTACTGCTCCTCATTTCAAATATGGTTCTTTCTCTGCCTAGTTTTTTCTTACTACCGTCGCGCACCCTCCAGCTATCCATCACTGCCCAGTCTTTATGGATTCATCACCCTAATATCCCTCTGCAGTCAGCGGCCTCAGAGTTAGCAAAGACTTCTATTAAATCTTAATCAACACAAACCATCTGTTAATTTGTACACTCATATTCTGTATCAAATATTATCTTTACTCTCCTGTCTCTCCTGACTGACCTGCTTTCATCACTTTTTGTGAGAACAAATGAATGTAACATTACGAATGCCTTTGAGAAGAGGCTGTCCAAAAGTCTGCAGCGTTTCCCCCATGTGTGCAATTCACTGCATCAAGACAGCAGACTTTTCATTCCACCTTTGAGTGCTGCAATTTGGAACAGGTATAACAACACATTCTCATCTCCAAGTCATCAAATACCAACGCTTTATCATGCCCCCTCTGCGTCTCATACTGACATACTGGGCATCTTTTAACATCTTTATGTGATGCGCAGCTGTCTCCTGGGTGAAACCAGCCCATTCTCATTCCCAATGCGTCAAATACCCACATTTTGTCCGTGAATTCAACGTCAGACACTGACACATAGAGGCACCTTTCAGTATGACATGCGCCAGGTGGTGGCAGTTTGTGATGCTGGCAGCAACTACCACTCTTTAACGAGCAAGAAAGTCTGTATAGGGAGGGCATGAGTGGAGGTGGAAGGGTCAGAGAAACCCTGGTGCCTGCTGTTCGTTTCCCGTATGAAACCAAAAGGCAATAGTTTTTTTTACAACAAAGTGTGTTAGCATGTATAGCATGCTATGGTAGAGACATATCATATGGTGCATGTCACGTGATGTAACATTACGTTTGTAGCAACGATACTTATTTTAAGTCAAACTATGACGTTTTTTTCTAAACCTAATCGTGTTTTCATTGCTTTACCCTAAGATAATAAACCTAAATATGAAGTGTTTTAGCTACATTTTAAATTTTGTTTGAAAAAGACAGTATGCATGTAATGAGCAGAAACTGTACTATTCCTGTGAAGGGAACCTAGAACGTCATAGTTTGACATGTATGTCCACAGACAAAGCGGTGGTTTTTGACAAGATGGGATAAAAACATGTTGGTGACAATGTAGCACATGGTTAATGTCGTCAGACAGTTAGGTTTAAGCTACAAAACTATTTGGTTAGGTTTAGTTAAAATGTCATGTTTTTGGATAAAATAAGTACGTTATGTAATTTGTGAAAACCCAATCAAGCCACCTACAACTGATGCCTCTTTATTTTTGATGTTACGGTACAGTTACACCTACAGCACGTGCTTGGAGTGGCCAAAAAGAAAGAAAAAAGACCAGAATTTCAGCATAGTTTCTCACATTTGAGATACCAACTGAAATAACATTGTGCTGCATATTATGTAAAATCCAATTATAATAAAAAATCTGTTATTTTTATTTAGCTGCAAAGTTAAAATATCATCAAATTATCATCTTTGGCTTGTCATAAAAACCTTTCCTTCATGGGTTAAATGACATTTCAGCCTGTTTTCGTTCCAGTCTTCAAATACCGCCACTTTGTCAGTTTCAGTGTCAGATACCTGACAGCAAAAGCCACTTTTGCATGTATTTTGAAAACAGACAATGCATGTAACAGGCTGAAGTTGACATGGCGTCCCAGAACGTCAGCAATCAACGCACCCAGGGTACCTTGCACATCAAATCTCGATGTGGGAAGTCCATGACCAAACATCAATATGTGATGAGGTCGGAGTGATAATGTGTTGATGGTTGCAGCGTCCCACAACATGAACAGCAGACGCAGGAGAATACCTAATGCATAATATGTAGACATGAATGTCCTGACAAAACAGTGCTATGGGATGAAGTTGTTGGACATTTTCAATGGATTTCCGTTCAGGATGAACCTAAATATGAGCATGCAAAGGTTCATATGGTTTGACTGTATAGTTCTTAAGAAATAGAAAGGGAAAGACGGCTCAAATGACATTACAGAGGATTCAGAAGTTCCTTATATTTATCCAATTTCATGGTGGTGGACAATGATAGGCCTATAGTATGATGTGGTTTGTTGTAAGGTTCCATGTTACATTCTGTTCGAATATGGTGAGCTATAATTCAACAGGTTATGCTTATTATTATGTTGATAATTTAAAATATTGTTCCATGTGCCTCTTTTTGACTTTGAGCACCTACCCCTCTGAGGGTCTTTGCACGGCCCTAAATTTTTGTTCATATAAGTATGTTCTACTCAGCTCAGGTTTCAGTTAATGGCTGGATTCAAAATGATTTCTCTCTTGTACATTAGACTTCCTCTCAGTTTTAGTAAGAAAGAGAAAACAATTTGTTGGTTGATGTCAGTGTGATTTACAGCCCAGGGTTTGAATCCCGTAGAGATGGAATGATGATGATGATGATGAAGATGTGCTGATGGGATAACAGCGCTGCTGCTCCTATACCTTCACTGTGTGGGCGTTGTTAAAAACTCCCGAAGCGGGGAGGCGGTGGGATTATTTACGCAGTATATTTCCATCCTATTGGTCCCTTTATAGGGGCTGCTCTGATGCGTTGCGGTGACACAGCCAAGTCTCCGGCGATAAAAAGAAAGGCGACGAGCCACGTTAAGAGAAACTCAAGTGTTGGAGGGCGGACATTTGATGGTAGATGCGCCTCTGCGAGTCTTAATACGGCTGGAAGAATCTGTTCAACTCCTGAGGTACCGAATCAACACTTTATAATTCATTGTATTTCTAGTCTAAGTTAAATCCGCGTGTCATGTTTCTCTGTTTGGTGATAATTGATAAAGTGGTGAAAGTAAGACTTGGCGCCAGTGCACAATTACGCACTGCGCACAGGTCTACATGATCCATAACATCGGGTGTTTTGAGTTATTATCAATAGAGTGTTCAAGAAATAAGTAACTGTCATTAGCACAGGTGAAAGTTACTTCTTGAATTTCTAGAGTCTGGCAATCTTGAAACCAAGCCGGTCCAACTCTGAGCCAGTCTCATTTCATCCATACTCACCGGGACTGCCTGTGATGTTTTTGTGTGTCAGGGATCTGGTGAAGAATGGAGTGGTATGTCCTGGTGCTGATGCTGAGCTTGCCGCCCTCCATCCGTGCAGATTGCTCTGCACAGTGTCAGAAATGCGTGCAGCAGATCCTCAGCCCCGACGCCGTCTTCAGCAGCCTGGTAAGACCACAGAGACAAACTTAACACGGAGCTCATCTAAGGTGGAGAACAGTTACTGGGCTTTTATTGCGTTCTTTTGGCTTCATGTTAAAATCAGGCAGCAGAAACCTAAATTGGAATTGAACTGGCTTTTGTCTTCTACTTGGTGTTAAAAATCCAAAATCATGGAAATGCCCAACTTCCAAAAGCCTTATTTTCTCTTTCCGACAGAATTTAATTTACATTATTTCATCATTAATATTATTTTAATTTCTTGAAGGTAAATGCTGCAAATTTGTCAAGGTGCATAGCCTACTGATAAATTGTGTAGCCTTTAAAAGACTCATGAGCTACATTTGGAATATGGGTTACGGCAATCTCTGACATTTTAGGTTTGAAATTTTCACTCATATGTACCAATGACGCTTTAGTAAAGCAGATTATGTGATGTTAGCACTCCAGGAGAAACGTAAGGAAGGAACTGGGGTTCAGATAGTGGTCTAATTTTGTCAAACTGATGCTCAAAACCTTAGAAACGTATGCAGCAGACTAAAAAAATCTGTAAAGCTTACTTCTAGTACCATGCACTTCACTGTGTGTGCACAGATGTTGGTTTTACACTCCTTTTCTCTGTGTGCCCTGCAGCCCTGCAGCGCGGAGTGTGAGGGGCAGCTGGAGAGCTGCGACCAGGCTCCGCGGCTGGCGGACTTCAGCCAGGATGAAGCTGCAGAGGAGGAGGAGAGACAGCAGGCTGACCTGGTCAAACGCTATGGCGGCTTCATTAAGAGAATTGACAAAAACAAGAACAAAATCTTCGCCACTCCGTGGCGCGACAATTACATTCTGAAGGCCGGAGCCCTGTCCAAGAAATACCAGGACTTGCTGAAGAGGCTGGAGGAGAGAGATGTAGACGCGCCACAGGACACGGGCGATTCTCCAGAGGACCAGATGCTCCGTAGTTACGTTAAACGTTACGGCGGCTTTTTACGCAAATTCGGCCCCAAGTCAAAGAGGAGTAGTTCAGCGGAGCAGGACAGCCAAGAGCCAGAGGAGCTGCAGAAGCGCTATGGAGGCTTCATGAGGAGGATCCGACCAAAGTTGAACAACCTGAAGTGGGACAAGCGTTACGGGGGCTTTCTGCGCCGCCACTTCAAAATCTCTGTGCGCTCAGTGGAGGAGCCATATTACTCCTATGATGACTTGAGCCTATAGATGAACCTGCGGGGGAAAAAAGAAAAACTACAAAGAACTTGTGCAGGTTCACTTGAAATGTCAACATTTATCCAAAAAGTATAATATGCCTGCCTATATTGCTTCTAACTCGGTTGCCTTCTGTGTAACAACTCTCATCTGTCTTATTGACATCATCGTCTGTTATTCAATAAATGATGCTTGTTTAATAAAACCATGAATAAAACCACTTTACTGTTTGCCCAACAAGTCAAAAGAAAATCGTACCTGTGCGAGTGATTTTAGCCTCAATGCCTTCCGACCCATCGTGCCAAACACCATTCAGAATTTTAGTAATTTAATATTTTCTTACTAATTGACAGATTCATACCCGGACATGGCTGGTAAATTCGGCATACATCATATAGCCTACACTGAGTGACACTTTAAATAGGCAACATTTTTACTTTAATCCTAACTTTGGTTCATATTCTAATTGTGAGTACAGGTAGGGTTGTAGCCTCTTTCGTGAAATATTGAGATAGGCCTACGTGGTGTGTTACTTTAGTGTTGTATTTATCATTTAAAACGAATATTTCTCATACACTGTAAAAAACAAACAAACTGTTTTAACTTTAAATAAACAGTGTCTGGGCTGCCTTAAAATTGGAAGTTGACTGAATCTGAGAAGACAAGTTTAGGTAATTTTGTAATTATTCAATGTGTCTTCTCAAAAAACATTTTTTAAAGTTAAAACAGTTTTTACAGTGTAACTGACAAAAATATTTTTTTCTGATGTGAGCTTAAAGATACCTTTTAAAAAGCAACTGATCTGAGCAAATATATAGTTCATGTCCAAGTGATGTAAAACAACAGGCTTTGGTCGGGCCGAATTTTTCACATTTTCCTACAAGTAACAATGCTTCTTTTTTAGCCATTTCCACCAGATCATTGTTCACAAGCTCATATTCTACAAAGCCTAAATGAATGTCTGCAGCTTTTCTTTTAGTGTCAATTAATCTAAATATTTTTTCTTTTTTTCCTCATGATCCAAAATCAAACTACTGTGCAGATAATTCAAGAGGTCGTTTTCAAATGCCTGGGATAACAGAAGCTCAATTGTGAAGCGTCTGAATCTGCTGGAGAAACTAACAAGAAGAAGTCTGACCAATACAAGAGCTGAACAGTGAGTTTGTTGCTCCATCTTGTGGGCAACAGACAGACGTGGCAAGCAAAGACGCATCTGCATCTAAAACTTAGTCAGCTTAAAATAAATAGAGAATAACAGTTACAGCTGTGTGAGTGCCCCCCTGCAGTGTCTGAATACCTAATTTATTTGGCAACTGGGGGGTTCTTTAGTTTAAAGCACAATATAAACTGAAATAATAGAGGCCTCAATGTGTCTCCTGCATAAAAATTACACGTCTTTAAATATTTTTATAAATATAACACTGACACACTATAATAATAATAATAATAATAATAATAATAATAATAATAACAATATTAAAAAATAGATTTTATTTGAAAAGCACCTTTCAAAACAGTCAAGGTCACTGTAAACAAGTAAACAAAGTGATAAATGACAATAAACTACAGGGGCCCGTTGTAAGTAATCCAGGATAAGTAGAAAAGCGAGGCTGGACAAATTCCCCTAAGTCCATCCTGGCTGAAGTTAATATTCCTCGGGAAATGTACCATGATGATTCTTGATTCACTGCGCAAATCTCTTATTGGCTAGGCCTATATATAACCTATCTCATTTAATGCTCATACAGCACAAATACAATTGGACAAAAGCAGGGGTAGCTAGACTCTGTCCCACATACAGAAACTGCCCTCTTCCTACAAGGAACATTATTCCAGTATACTGTACATGGAATCAACCATTTTATTCATTCATTAATCAACCTTTGGTGTTATGTGGACTGTCTGACCTTGGATTGTTTTGCAGTGTCAGGTGTCAGGTGATACACTGACCCTTCTGGAGCCACCAGAAGATAATCCGGTGAGTGTTATTCATTAAAGGCATATGCTTGACATGTCTTGCAAGTTTACACTAGGTCAATACAAATTCTATTTAATGTGGCAGGGTGTAGGCACATCTGCAGCAGATGAGGAGGAGATTCTGTCTCTGGACTCCAGAAGGTTTGAGGTAATCTGTCAATCTTGTGGAAATAATTTAGTCCATAATGTATAAGAAGTCAGTGATGTGGTGCTCATAGAAAGTGTATTTGTAGCATGACATGGATGCTGACCAGCCTGACAGCCTGCTTGGAAATATAGTGAGTATCGCCTGAAGGACATATGGTGTCCACAATTGCTGTGCTAATAGATATGTGTTTTACAGAATTCAAACTGTCAGACAGCTATATGCAAGTCACCTACAGAAGCAGATAGGGCTGGCAGATGTGAAGCGCCAGTGTGAAAAGAGAAAGCTGCAGGACATGGAGCTTGACAGACAAATAAAAAAAACCCTTAAGGAAACTGGACTTGGAAATTAAGAAACTAGAAAAAGAAGTAAGAGATTTTAATGCACACTGTAAGCATGACCGTGATGCAATGTATTAATCAGTTATTTCTCTCTTTCTCTCCCCAGCTCCAAGCAGACAGTGACTGATTACAGTATTTTTCATTTAAATAAAATGAGGTCAAAGAATATTGTGGTTTCTTCTTCCTGTTTTCATTCATTAATGTAAAGTACACTGGAGTTATTGGTCCAGTTAACTGGGAATGTGATTTGGGAAGGTCATAGAGTTATGAAACCTAATAACCACTAATTGTGTGCTATGCCAAATACACCTCCTTGTATTTGTATTCCAACATTTAATCCTTTTATTGGTGAGGAAATCTGCATGTCAAAGTATCCTTGGGTAAGATGCTGAACCCCAGATTACTCCCAATATTGTATGCACCCTGTGTGGTAAACTGACGGCATTAGTGTGTGTCTTAGAATGGGTGAGTGAGCAGCTGCACACTGCTTAGCGCTTTTATCTTAAGTGCTTTATACTTTCTATAAATGAAAAATTAAAATAATATCCTGCTATAAGCAGCTATTTAATAAAAACTGCAAACAAAGCAGCTATTTTAACAACCCCCTGCTAAAAGCAGCCATTTTAAGAACGAGAAACAAAAAACAGCTCAAACCATCTGTATGACGGTCATTGCACGGTTCCCTGCTGTGCAGCCCTGGGTTTGCGGACCCAGCAGTCTGCAGAGGTAGCGGATGCCTTTCCTGAGAACCTGTACCGCTCGTACAGGTGGTCATCATCAAAAAGCAATGGGTCCGGCCTGTCCTGAAGCGCTGTCTCCCTTCATAATGCCCCTTGCAGAATTAGTGCCTCTTCATCCAAAACATCAAAAACATCAGGTTAAACTAAGCTTGGCTGTTAGCCTGGTCGGAACCAGGCTAACTGCACAGAATAAATCTCCATGGTAACATATGTGCCTCTGCTTTCAAACAACTGAATCAAAGCTAAATTAAGACAGGATAGCCAACATATCCCGGCTTAATCCCTTATAGGTTTTGAACAACGGGCCTCAGGAGAAGATAACACTGCAGCCAACATAATTGGTGCTTAAATGCAATATGATGCATACAGTATGCAAAAAAGACCACTCACTGTATATTGAACTTTTCTTATATATTTCTTTGTGGGAAATGTTTATATCAATATATGCTTGATGGACATCATGTAAGTGGCAAAACATAGTTCATTTTTCTCCTTTTTCATCATTAACCAATTCCGAATTTAGTAATAGCTAATAGTCATGTGATGACAGCTGACACCATTACATGCAGAGTTCCCACACATTTTCATGGATAAAATTTCAAGGCTTTTCCAGGACTTTTCAAGGACCCATAGTAAAAGGTTTTTTGTTTGGTTTTGGTTGTGTTTTTATTTTTGCCCACTTGCTTGGCATCATATTTTCAGCTATACCCAGGGAGAAAAAGACGAAACGTACACGATGGTGAACAAAACACTGTCACACATTGAGGCATATTAAAGCTATGGATGTCGACAGCTACAGAAAATTAATTTGCTGTTAATGTTACATTAGGTGGAGGGTTATCCAGTGAAGATCATTGTAACAATTTCATTAAACACAACAAAATTTCATGTTTTTCCCCCAAAACTTTCACTGATTTTGACTAATTCTGTGACTTTTCCAGGCCTGGAAAATGTGATAGTGAAATTCCATTACTTTTCCAGGTTTTCCATGACCGTGAGAACCCTGTACCTGACACCTGAGTAAACTCCAATTGTTGAAGACATCCAGAAGTAAGTGGACCTTGAATCAACTTGCAGATTTTTTTGTCTTCTTTTCAATTTAGGTTTTTCTCCTCCCTTGTAAGGTTGAGATAAAAAAATAAAATAAAAAAACACCCGACAGCAACAAAGCAAGCTTTAGGCCCCTATCACACGGAAAGCATTTTAGCAGCTGGAACTGTACTTGTTTGTAATGAGATTTTTTGCTCGTTTCCGTTGTAACGCATTGAGTGCTTCTGTGCTCTGGGCACCGAGCCTTCTGAACTCCTCAAGTTGAAAAAACTTCAACTCAGAGCAGAAGTGCGCCCACATCAGTTCCACTTTCCCCCATTATCCAATCTGATGATTTGAGAGGTGGGTCTTCTGTGGTGGTCACGACAACAAGTTTACAGTTGGTAAACAATGGAGGAGAAACTGGTGGTAGTGGTTGCTGGATACTCAGAGCTATATGGCCTGACGATAGACAGCAGGTTGTCAAACCGCCCCTGAGTCACCCTAAAATATGGCTGGAAACAGCCATCGTAGAGATGAAGCCCCTGGACCAACTGGTGGTAGGCCTACTCCATGTGATCCACCCTCTTTCTTAGGGTCTCATGTACCCACACAGATCTCGGTTTCCCTGCACCCAACAAATTATTTACTGACAGCTTCTTACCCTCAACCAGAGCTACAGCAAGTACCCTCTGCCTGTCCATTTTAGGAACTCGATACTAGCCTAATTACTGTCAAATAAACAAAATATAAATAAATAAATGGTAGATTGATTACACAGGGAGGTTAGGGTGAGGAGGTGATGTGGAGGTTGCCTAGCAACAAGAAAAAGGCACAGCAGGTGTTTTTTTACTAATGGCATTCAATTAAAAAACAAAAAAGGCAGTGCTGTGCACCAGGGGCCGTATTCACAAACATTCTGAGAACACTCCCAGAGAGCTCCCAACTTAGTCTAAAAACTAAATGACTATCATTTATCATAATTGGTCTGCACATATCCCACATCTGCATGCACATATGAGATAGTTTACTGCACCCAATAAATGCGTCAGGGCACAACAGAAACACATCCATCCTCCAAACCTGCGACATTTCACAGATATCAGGCAACTGACAGGTGTAATTGAGCTCATCTGGAACCTCATCAAAGGAGGCTCCACCAGCTACTCTATATAAAGGCGTTGTCACATCACACATGTTCCCCCAGGACATCTCGCAGGCCGCAGGGGCTGGAGGGAGCCATTTTTTCAGCGATGGCGCACCAAATGTTTTGGGAACAGTGAGGTAACCAGCATCTTGTGAATGGAGGGGACGGCGAGGAGAGTAAGGGATGATTAAGTCAGAAAGATAGGGTGGGGCCTGACCATGTAAGGATTTGTAGACTAGCAGTAGGACCTTGAAATTGGACCAAGCTGGAACAGGGAACCAGTGAAAGGATTTGAGAACCGGGGTGATATGCTCAAATTTTCTGGAACGGGTGGGGATTCTGGTAGCAGCATTTTGAACAAGTTGGAGCTTTTTAGTAGTGCATGCAAGCCAGAGAAAAGGACACTGCAGTAATCAAGCCTAGATGAAATGAAAGCATTAATCTGGGTTTCAGCATCAGCTGTGGTGAGCATGGGGCAGATCTTGGAAATGTTATGGAGGTGAAAGAAGGCTGTTTTGGAGATTTCCTGAATGTGAGCATTGAAGGATAGACTAGAGTTGAGAAGGATGCCCAGGTTTTTTACACTGGGACTTGGGGTAATTATACACCTATTAAAGTTGAGGATAAGGTCAGAATGAAGAGGGAGTTTGGGCCAACAATGAGCAATTTGGTTTTATTGGGGTTTAGTTTTAAGAAGTTTTATGACATCCAATTTGTGACAGTGAGTCACAAATTCAAGATTAAATTCAAGATTAGTGATTTGTGAATGACCATTGGGAGTGAGCGGCATGTAAATTTGAGTATCATCTGTGTAACAGTGAAACTGAATGCCATAGTGGCAGAGAATGGGTCCAAGAGGGAGCATGTATAGGGAAAAAAGCAGAGGGCAAACAACAGAACCCTGTGGAACACCAAAGTTGACTGTAGACTAATCAGACAGAGAGGTTTTATATGAGACACGTTGAGTTATGTTAGCTAAGTAAGAGGTGAATCAAGAAAGTGCAGAGTCACAGATGGGGGTGGGTTGATATACGCTTTAACAGGATGGTGTGGTAAACAGCGTCAAATGCTGCACTAAGATCAAGTAGGATGAGGATCGATGATGAACCAGAGTCAGAGGATAGTAATAGATCATTTATCACTTTGGTGAGGGTGGTTTCAGTGCTGTGAAGTGATCTAAAGCCAGACTGATGGGGTTCAAAGAGATTATTGGAGTTGAGATAGTCAGTAAGTTGTTTGAAGACTACTTTTTCCAGTACCTTGGAGAAGAATGGAAGGTTGGAGATGGGTCTAAAATTGTCAAGAACATCGGGATCGAGATTAGGTTTCTTGAGCAGAGGTTTAATAACAGCAGATTTGAAAGAGGAGGGCACAACCCTGGAAGAGAGAGGTGTTAATAATGTTGAGAAGATTGGGGCCACGTATAGGCAAAAGTTCTTTTACAAGTTTAGCTGGAAAAGGGTCAGATAGGCAGGTTGTAGACTTAGCAGATAGCACCAGACTAGAGAGGGTGTCCAGGGATACCATGTCAAAATGAGAGAAGGTAGTCTAGTGATGAGTAATGAGTTGGTGTCTAGTGAAGGGTTCAGCAGCCATTGTGGGTAAAGAACTAGTAATCTGATTTCTGATATTGCTGATTTTGTTGTTAAAGAAATGAACAAACTGAGAGGCAGTAAAGGGAGAGCTTGCTATAGGGGAAGGTTTATGGGTAAGTTTGGTTACTGTATCAAAGAGGAACCTAGGATTGCCTTTATTAGTATTGATGAGAACTGAAAAATAAGAGGCCCTAGCATTTGAGAGCATCTGCCTGTAAAGAGCTGAACTGTTGCTCCAGTCTATGCGGGCGGCTTCTAGTTTGGAAGTGCGCCACTTCCATTCCAGCATCCTACACACCAGTTTTTGTGAACGGGTTTCGGTGGTGAACCGGGGCGAAGGGAAGCAGTGGAATCGAGGGAATCAAGTAATGAAGAATTGAAGTTGTCTGTGAATTCATCAAGGGAGTTGATTTGATCTGGGAGAGAGTCGAGTGCCCTAGGCAGGAGATCGGCAAATTTATCAGTTGTGGAAGTGTCAATGGTCTAAGTGTCCTTTGTTGATAAATCTACTGGGGGCAGGGAAATTTGAAATTTAATAAGATAGTGATCAGAAAGTGCTGGTGGATAAGGGAGGACAGAAATGTTAGAAACGGTGACACCGCGAGTGAGAACTAGATCAAGCATATTGCCACTAGAGTGTGCCTGTTCATGGATTAACTGAACAAATCCAAGAGTGTCAATTAGGAATATGAAAGATTTGGCAAATAGGTCAGATTTGGAGTTTACGTGAATGTTGAAATCACCTATGTTATAAGTCCAGGTTGCAAGGTCATAAAGAAAATTGGAGAATTCTTCGAGAAAAGAAGAGTAGGGACCAGGTGGGCGATAGATTAAGATAAAGTAAAAAGGAAAGATAGCAGAGTGATCTGAACTAGAGTGTAAGGGGCGATTAACTCACAAAATGAGAGTTTGATTTTAAGATCAGGTGATAAATTCAGAGATGAGTTGAAGATCAGCCCAATGCCCCCGCCTTCGTCCTAGCGACATGTGAATGTGTAGTTGGCAGGGGAAGCTTCAACTAAAGGGAATTCATCATAATGTTTCAGCCATGTTTCACATAGTCCCATGATGTCAAGTTTATGTTCTAAATTTAGGTCATTGACAAGCAGAGCCTTTTTTGAGAGTGACCTGATGTTGATGAAACCGAGTTGTAGATAGTTCTGACTAGTGTTGACAGTGGGATGATCAGCAATGGGGATAGTTTTTATTTCAATTAAATTACCATGTGTTCTGTGAGACAGCAGGTGAGGATGAGAGGTAGGGTGGCATAATCTATTGTTAGATATAACACAGATTGAATAAACAGGAGGAGAATCGGGTAGGAGGGGGCTACAGTTGAGGGGCTACAGTCATGAACTGGAGCTGGGGAAATCCAAGCCGTGGGTATGGGAGATCTATAGCCAGTGGAATAGTCATTAAGACAGTTGGGACTCACCCCGCATCATGCTATGATGTCAAAATCTGTCAATTTTGTCCTTCCGTGAACTGATCACGTTAAGATGATCATTAGCAGAGACACAACGCTGATGAATGCAAGTAGGATACAATGTGGTCAGGATACAGTGCAGGTCCTTAAGTTCATTTGTCCTTTCGTCCATCTTTCATATTTTTGTTTAAATATAATACATTTCCTCATGATTCTCTTACCAAGACTACTTCTTATTTAGTTGTAGTCTTGTTTTCGTCATGAAAATAGGTCATTAACAAATATTTATCGTCTTAGTTTTTCATTACAATTATTAGAACACACATACACACGAGCAGCAGGGAAATACTGCATTAGGTAGCAGCGCTGTGTGACTTATGCGCTGATTAAGTGGTGCGTGATTGATTTGCCTGACATCGATTGATTTAGTTTCAGCACCATGGTAGTGAGCGGCTCCCGTTAAGAGCTTCTTAAAGAGCTATCTTAAGAGCGGTCCTAAGAAGGGCATTAAAAACGCATCTGGGAAACACTCGTATCTTAGCGACCCTTCTTAGCCAACACATTCTTAACTGTACTTAACCACACATATTATCCCTGCACAATCTCACCTGTAGCATTTCATTTACTCACTGTCATTTTGTATTTAAAGACCGTTTCTGCGACTTCTTTGTGTTTCCACCATTTTCTCCTCTGCTTAGGAAACTCTTAAGCCTCTTAAAAGTCCTCCTTCCTGCTCCTAACAGTTTTTCCCCTTAGGAGCTCTCTTAAGGTCTAAGATGCTCTGTGAATAACTTTTATCTTTACAAGGACCTAGTCTTAACTTTAAGGGGAAATTCTAAGAAGACGTCACAATGCTAAGGATTTTCTTAGAATTCTGTCACTAGGATCAACTCTTAGCACTAGGAGGCTTTGTGAATACAGCATTTTCCCACCTGCAAAACACTTTCTGTGTGATCTGGGCTTTAGAATGTGTATCCACGTCAGTTCCTCACTGACATGTGTCAGTGTTGAAAATATGTAAACATACAGTTTGTTCTTAAAACTGAGCATTTATTACCAAACTGAACAATACTGATTTTTTTCCAGCCTATATGGTGTGAATCCCTACAGACACTGCTGTATCAAATATATTTGTTACAAATACATATTTACAGTAAAATCACTACTGACATACACACTCCTCACACCAGATGCCACTCTAATATAAATTTAGCTATCTTGAAAGTTGAAGGACATCTACACAGAAGGCTGGTGTGTCTTCTTAAATGACAAATGAAAAACACTGCATCGAATTATCTGTACAGGTCAAAATGTGGACCAGCCCTCAGCCGCCACAGGGAGTGCACACTCAATCCAGGGTCCACAATGAAGGCAATTACTAGCAGGGAGACAGGGGAGAGAACAGCTGTCCTGTGTCTTACTGCTGCTTAGCCGGCTGCTCCCCGTCTTCCTCTCTAACCTGCTTTGGCTGACTTTCATCATCACCATCAGCCTGGCCTTCCTCCTGTGAATCATCTGTGGCAGTTGCCGTGGCATCCACCACACTGATGCTGCCAATCTGTTGTTGGACGGCACTTTGTGCGGTGGCCAAGCTCTGCAGCGTGGTCGGCAGTGTCACTAGCTGGAACTGAGGGCCTACCACCTTAACAAAGGCGGTGGAGGCTGCCGAGCCACCAGCCGCACCCTCCTGACCTGCCGCCGTGGACAGCACAGTCAGGTTAGAGGCATCGGCCGCCAGCTCTGACCCAGAGAGAGAGGAGGTCAGGAGGGTGTACCCACCCAGGTTTGTGCCAGAAGGGGCTCCAGCCACGGTCAGCACCTTACCCAGCGGCAGGCCGGTCAGCTGGTTGAGAGGCAAAGTGATCTGGGCAGGGGCTGTATTTACCGAGGCCGGGCCAGAAACAGCGCGGGTCAGCCGGGGACGCTTGAGCACGGGGGGTGCAGGGACTGGGGTGAGGGTCATTAGGACGTTGTTGAGGTGCTGGGATTTGCTCTTCAGCTCCTTGGCTCGCTTCCTGTGTTCGTCACACTGCTGCTCCAGAGCTGCAGGAGGAGGTGACACATCATTAATGTATGAACACACACGACATTTGTATTTGTATGTTTTTTAAATGTCCTTTTATATTGAATTGGCTTATTGGCCTGTTTAAGTTATTATTATTAATATTATTATTATTATATTACTATTAACCCTTTAAAGGGACAGTTTAGTTTTTTTGAAGTGGGGCTGTATGGGGTACTTATCTATAGACAGTTTATTACATACACTAGATGTCAGTCAGCACACCTCCAGTTTGGAGAAGCAGACTTGAGTCTGACATAAAAGCTAAGCAATGTGCTGTTGTGGAGGGGTCAGCAACAAAATGAATTTTAGCCACCAAAGAAATCAATATGAGTCAAAGTGTATGTTATACTGAGAGTATTTTCACTACTTCATCTCACCGTCAGATAGTGGTTTTTTAATTGAAAAATTGAAGCCATTATATCATTCTCTTCAAAGCCAGACTCCTCTGAGAAGAACTAATTTTAGTTTGCTGAGCACAGGAGCCGCTGGTCTATTGCTGCCTCAAACAGTTATTTTCTTTGTGTTATTGCATGACTTTGGCGTTTAAAAGGCTTAGTTCGGATTCACCAAAGTCACACAATGACATGAACTGACTAACTGATAGAAGCAGGACTCAACCAGCAGCTCCTGTGTTCACAGAGCTAAAATTACAGTTGCTCTCAAAGGAGTCTGGCTTTGATGAAAACATAGACGGGAACTGAAGCTGTTAGCAGCTTCCCACCAGAGCAGGCTTTCTGACGGAAAGGTAAAACAGTGAAAATACTTTCAATATAGTGCACACTACGAATGCATGACATTGGATTTTTTGCCAATACCCAATATACCGATATATAACAACTCATTTGGTCTATAATCGACACTGGTATCAACTATATCCATTTTTTTCCACACTCAATTTTAGTTATTATGTAGTCTCTTCGGTAGTGGAATTAATTAATTCTGTAGTGAAATTCAATGTATGCAATATTCACTCATTGTGCAAAATAAAAAAAAAGCATGTTGGCTGATTCTGATAGTTCATTATAAAGCCGATATTGGCTAATACTGATAACGTGCCGATATTATTGTGCATCTCTAGCATACATCTCAACTGATATTGATTGGGGATATTTCTCTGGGCATTTTAGCCTATAATTGACAGGACAGGGGAGTTTGAAAGGGGGAGAGAGAGTGGGGGAGTGACAAGCAGCAAAGGGCCACGAGCTGGAATCAAACCCGGGCCGCTGCGGCAACAGCCTTGTACATGGGGCCACCGACGCCCTGATATTGATTTTTTTAGGTGGCTAAAATTCATTTTGTTGCTGACCCCTCCTCAGCAGTACATTGATCAGCTTCCATATCAGACTCCAGCCTGCTTCTCCAAACTGGAAGCGTGCTGACTGACATCTAGTGTAGGTAATATACTGTTTATGGATAATTACTCCATACAACCCCACTTCAAAAAAACTGAACTATCCCTTTAATACAGAATGCAGGGTCATTTCTCTCGCCAAGGCCTATTGATATATGTAGTACATTTAATACTCCAAAGTGGCAGCCCAAAGTGCTTTAAAGATTACACAGGTAAAAGCACAAGAAACATATGATGAAAACAATAAAAGCAAACAGGTAAACACACAGAGTAAAACAGTAAAAACAATACACAGTGTAAAAACAACAAATCTGATTTCAAAGAAAATGAGTTAAAAGCAACAGTAAACAGGTAAGTCTTTAAGCTGGGGTTTGAAAGTGGTCAGCATTGTCTCAAGTTCTCCTGGAAATTTGTTCCACATTTGAGCAGCACAGAGGCTGAAAGCAGCTTCACCATGTTTAGTTTTAGCCCTGTTTCCACCAAACACTTGCAGTATGGTACCTTTGGAATCAAAGTAACCCTTCAGACATGGCATCTAGGCCCTTGGTCTGTTTAGCGTTTCCACCACAAACAGTACTCTTAAATGTGGGCGGGGTTATTGTCATTCACTGCTCCATCCAGCACTCACTGTATTTCCTCATTTTCAGAACAAAATAGAACAAACAAGTGAGAGTCTCTCTCCATGAGATATTTAAAAATAAATGGTGGAATGGAGCTGTTCCTTACCGTCCCCATTTTTGGTCACCCCTCTGTTGGGGTACCTGGCACACAGATATGGTAATAAAGGTGGAGCTGTGAACACTTCAGTCCGTTAATCGGTTCATACCTCTGTTCATACCATGGCAAGTCTTACTTGGTAAAGTATAACTATAAAATGAAAGGATGTTTTGCTGCCTCTCACAGCAGCTGTAGACTGAGAAAAAACTGGGCCAACTGCCGGCAACTTTTAAAGTGGAAGGTTTGCTTGTAATGTTACTCAATGCATGAGCTGAAGACATGAATCCATCAGCACACAGAAATTTCAATATGACAACTTTGACTATTTCGTTAGATTTTATTGTCTCTCTTGGATGACATACACTTTAAGTAATGAATGGATCTTCAAGCATTTCCTGTGACACTAAACACTAATCCCCTGTGCTTGCCTGAGAAAGACTAAATGCACAAACCTGCGTTTTTTACACATCCCATGGAGAGAGAGACTCTCACTGCAGCCTGTTCTGTTTTGTTTTGAAAATGTTGGCATGCAACCCTGTTCTGTGGACAAAAAATGTGCAGACTTCCCTCTGTGTCACCAGTGTTTAGGAAATACAGCGAGTGCTGGACGGAGCAGCAAATGATAATAACCCCGCCCACATTTAAGAGTACGGTTTGTGGTGGAAACGCTAAATGGATCTAGGGTCTAGGTATCATGTCTGAGGGGTTACTTTGGTTCCAAAGTTAACATACCGAAAGTGCTCGGTGGAAACAGGGCTAAAAGGTCTGTGAGGTTCATACTGGGTCAGGAGATGTGACAAATTATCTTAGATCTGTATCAATCAGTGATTTTTGGATAAGCAGCAGAGTTTTGAAGTTGACTCTGAAACTGGTAGCCAATGCAGTGATCCAAGAACTGGAGTATATGCTGAGCCTTTCATATTACAACCCTGGCAGCAGCATTCTGAATCAGCTGAAGCTCTCTGATTGGTGCCTTAGACAGACCTGGGAACAGTCGATTGCATTCTCAGAGCTTCAGAGATGATTTAAGACTCAAAGACACATGATTCCATCCTGAGTGTAATATCTCTGTTGAGAATTCTTGTACTGACCAGCGAGGCTGCGAGTGTACTGCTCTCTGTAACGGTCCATCTGGCTCTTATGACTGGCCAGGACCTTCTTCACTAGGTCCAGCATCCCAAAGTTCTGTACTATATTGTTGAGCAAAACAGCATCTGGAAAAAACAACAAACAGTTAATGTTCAATTCAATGTTCAGTGGGACACAAACATGTTAAACATAAAATGGGAATTCAACAGATTTTACACATCAGCTGTTTCCAACTGTTGTGGAGAACTACCGCATATGTGAGAAAGCAGTTGTAGGAGCCAAAATAATTGAGCGAGTGTCCAAAGTTTTTTAAAATGGGGGCCAGAAACAAGAAAAAAAACGCATTATATGGGTCATTAAAACAATTAAAAAAGACACACAAATGCCAACTGTTTCATCTTTAAGTGTAAAAAGTATTCAACTATCCACTGCTCTTGAAAGCGACAGCCCTTGGTCTTGGCTTAATGCTTCTTTGCTGTGGTCAGGTTTGCCAACCTAGCAGGAAATCTCTTGTGTTTGGTAACTTTTCATCTGTCTATGAAAACACACTAGATTTGCCTGTGTGATTCCTACTTGATGTATGTCTGCAAAATGTACGATTGTCCTGCCATCATAAGGTGAATGAAAAAAAAATGCAAAGTGATCTCACTTGATTAACCAATATTGTGTTAAACATGAAGTATCTTTTGAAAGACCAGCAGCGGGCCATTTATAATCTGTCTGAGGGCACCAGTTGGACCCCAGACCACATTTTAGACATGACTGCTCTAACCCCTTTCTGTTGTTCAAGTTTCCCCATCCAGTGGCAGTGATGGATGGGGATAAAGGCCAAAGGAGGCTGCCTGGAAGATGCTGTCCTTGACCTCACATCCTCAAGGCCATCTGCAGAGACTGTCCCTGCTTTTTTTTTTTAATAGAATCCTTAGTTTATCTTTATAAACCTTATTTACAGTTAAATTTTTACCTTCTGAGCACTGTATTAACTTTTTTTTTTGGATTGTTACAAGTTTAACAGATTTTTGCTAAGCCACCACAGTGGTTATATACAGTAACCAATAACACACTCTATCTCTCTTTACTAGGATCTCCTCTGTGCTCCTCCCTCTGCTGAGGTGACTCACTGTCTGCAGGTATGGCTACCTCTGATCAATTTTAAGATGTGTGGTAAACTAAGCTAAACAGTACCAAAAGACAGCTTTTGTTTTAGCTTGTTTTTAACAATTTGCTATTAGCTGTGCTATTTAACATATCCTGGGCACTTTGTAAAGATTGGACAAACAGTGTCTGATTTATAGTTTGATTTGTGTTATGCCACAAACATTTTTTGTATTTGTAGTGCCCCTTAATGGTGGATTTAAATGAACCTTTCAGGGTATGTTCCGAGTACTTATGTGGACATTTCTTGCAAGTTTTATTATGATTAGACCAGTGGTTGTGGAGTTGAGCAATTCCCCTTTTAAAGTTCATTCGACAATATCTTCAAAACGCAATGAGATATTAACAAGTGTTTGGTAACTTTTATAAAGCTTTGTTCGGTGATGATCTCCAGAAAACATGTTTTTTGACAGTTTAAGAGGGTATGTCAAAAATGTGCTGTTTTTTTTTTTTTTAATTCAAAATGTTAAAAAATCCAGTCAGTCAGCCCCTAATGGTTGTTGAGGCTTTTCTGTTGAGCACATTGAGTCTGACAAGTGTGTCACATTTCAAGTCAATCCAACTTACTTTCGGCGTAGAAGTTATGACTGTTCGAAGTTGACCTTTAATTATAGAGCCCTCATCAGGCTGACCCCAGTCAGCACTGGCACACAACTTCCAATCATTGGTGAAGATTCAATGTGTCTACAATGTACCATCTCACAGGAATTTGTGAGAACATTTCTGGAGAAAAATAATTAATCAGCACAAAAACGACAAGGTTTCAGCCCCTCAGGCTTGAACCTCTAATTAGAGACAACAATTACCCCTTTTTGACAGTCATGGGCTGGCTTGGTTTGGTTCGGCCCATCAGCCCAGCACAACAGGGATTTGCATTTTCATTCCAACAGGGCTACAACAGGAAGGTGTTTCTAAAATTGATGACGGCTTGTCTTGAGTGATGATGTTTAAAAGCAGCAGGCTGATTCAAGGCTGAAGTCCCCTGTTAAAAGTTTAGCTGTTGGAGGTGAGCTGTTTGCAGAGGTGCAGTAAGAGCCTGTTGTCTGCAGCTCTGCATCTAACATCTCACTGTGGCTGTTGCTGCTTTTACTTTTTCTCCCTGCAGCCTAAGTAGACTTGCCTTTGTTGAGGAGAAGCTGCAAACAAAGTTCTGCAAATTCAGTGATAAACACATTTCATTTCCTGTAGATTCTTCACAGTAGAAGTCCCCCATTATTTAGTTATGTAAAAACTTTTATTGTGAAGCAGCAAAAAAAGGAAATGCTGAGTTTTCGAGCAGCAACTTCACACAACTTCTAATACAGCTGATAGTGAACATGAAACAGTAAAATAAAGCAGATATCTAAAGTAAAAACAGGACGCAGGAGAGAAACTAAACTCCAAACCACAAGGATTCAGTTAGACACTACAAGAGTACTAAGAGTTGAGCACACAGAAACTTTTAAAAAACACCTTTCTCTCTGGTCTCCTGCAGACAGAGACAAGTTCAGAGTTGCAACACACCCAGCTTGTTTAAGGGGGAGAAGCAGGGTCATCCAGGGGTTGGCTCTGGTCAACGAGAGGTCATCGCTACCCACTTGAGGGTGGGCAGCCCTGCTTTTAGACCTACTCTGGAGAAGGTCAATCTCTGACACAGCTCGGCTTGGCATGGCGCGTCTTAACTGATAATAGAAATGAAAATCAGCGTGGCATGGCTTGACTCGGCGTGGCCAAGAGTGACAGTGGAAAAGGCCCAGTACTGTGGTTTGTGACCAGCACACCTTCAACAAGTCATCAAGGTAAACTACTTAGTGCAGTGGAAAAACCCACTGTGACACTGTGTGACTGCTCGCTGCTGTTCACAGTACAGCTCTCTGCACGAGGGAAGTGTTCAAGCTGTAACGGTGAGATGAGTTGCTTGTTTAGTATTGGTTGGATGGAGTTTGTATGTTCTCCTTGCGTTCCTGCTCCCATTCCTTGATGTTAATTTCAGCTGCAGTTCTCCAGTTTGTTGTTGTAGATACATGGCCAACTCCTGCTTGTGTGTGTGTGTGTGTGTGTGTGTGTGTATGCCTACTAACCTTTGACTTGAAGTGGAGGGTCACACACTCTCTCCTGCAAACCCTTCAGCACCTCCTGCAGCTCCTTCTGGAAGTCCTCCATCACCTCCTCCAGCAGTCCAACCTCCTTCACCGCTCGCCAGAATGCCACAGAGTCCTCTGGACACAGACACAGACACAGACACACTATATATCATAAAGAATAATACAGTCCGTAAACCATTTCACTCAACACGATGGTGAATGTATAAGCACGTCTTTGATCACCTCCGATGGCTGTGACCCACTCTGAAGTTTCTTCTGTCACCTCTGGAAACGAGGCTGCTGCTCCATTCACTACAAGACAAACAGTAAACATCACTAAACCACATCACTAGATTGAAGCCCTGTTTCCACCAAGTAGCCCGATTCAGTTCAGTTTGATTTTATTCCGTTTTTTCCCATCCACTGTGAAAAGTTGTGGATGGTACCAATGGAACCGTTCAAAATGGCCCCATTTTTGGTCACCCCTCTGTTGGGGTACCTAGCACACAGATGTGGTACTAAAAGGTGGAGCTGTGAACACTGCAGTCTGTTGATTGGTCAATAAAGAACAGTCACTTTTACTCAGGACTGAGTTGTGGCTGGTTTCATTAGAAAATGAAAAAGATGTTTTCTTATATTTTATTTTTAGAGAGAAAAAAAAAAAGCATCATGGAGTGTCATTCATGCACTACACTACTATACAGCAATGCTAAACCCCTGAGCTTGCCTGAGAAGGACTAAATGCCCACAAACCCACTATTTTTAAACATCCCATGGAGAGAGAGACTCTCACTGCAGCCTGTTCTATTTTGTTCTGAAAATGTTGGCATGCAACCCTGTTCTGTGGACGATAAACGAGGTGCAGACTTCCCTCTGTGTCACCGGTGATGAGGAAATACAGCGAGTGCTGGACAGAGCAGTGAGTGACGACAACCCCACCCACATTTAAGAGTACTGTTTGTGGTGGAAACGCTAAACCAGCTGTTACCAACTGGTCCAGCCACGGGTCCAAATTTGTCCTCAGTCATTAGTTCAAGGTCCACACAGTTTAATACATTTAGCGTCACACTTGCGTTTGGCCATGTCATCAAGCTAGTTTGCTGTCGCTGTTAAGTAGCTATCTGTTATTCATTCACACTACAGCAGAAAACAGCACTTCAAAATAAAGTGTGTGGGTTTTTTTTTTTTTTTTTTTACAAACTTGACACATTTGCGAGTCACTTGCGGCCCATTCAGAATAGACCTGTGACCCACCAGTTGGGAACCATTGCGCTGAACTGATCCAGGGTCTACGTACATGTCCATAGGGGTTACTTTTGGTTCTAATGGTACTATACCAACAGTTTTTGATGGAAACAGGGCTTTAAACTCTGACAGTTTGTCTTGATCTGTTGCTGTATTCATTCTGGTTTACAATGCAGATTTTGAATATGCTTCAGAAGTTTTATGGCATAAAATAACACTGCAATATTTTGAGACTATATCACAATACACAATTATAGATATTGCGATACTTTGAAATCCACTCCAAAGTACTGTAGACTACTAAAACACTATTAATTAATTAATTAATTTACAATTAAGTTAAATAAAGTAGCTACTGTCCTAAGAAAGTTAAACACAATACCACTGAAACAAAGTTAAATAAAATACTGATAAAACTGAGTTATAATAAAGTTCATTATTATTATTATTATTATTATTATTATTATTATTATTATTATTATTATTATTATTATTGTTATAATAATTAAATAAAGAAAAGTGAAACTACTGGTGCTTTTATTTTGGAGCACCCGGCTCATATCAGACCATAAGTGTTGATGTTTTTGCTGTGAACTTGAAGCTTCCAGTCAACAGTTGCTGTTAGCAGTTAACACAAAGTTAAACTGTTGCTGCTCCAACTTTAAACATGTGGTTTCATTCACTGTGAGCTGGAAACAAACTAACAGCTCTCCAGCTCATATATTAACAATATTTGCAGGTTGCACTGGTGCTCCTTGGTCATAAAATGTGACTAAATTGTAGCATTGTGGAGCCCTGCAGATGAAATACACACCTCGCCTGCTATCGCGTAGGAGAAAGTGATCTGGATGGGTGGAGGAGTGTGTGTGACGCATCATGTTTGTGAGTCTTTCTTTTTGTTTGTATGTGTCTGTGAGAGGGGGAGAGCCACAGGAGAGAGTGAGAGAACCTAAACTCCAAAGCGAGTCTCATTTTAGTGGCTTAAAAAAAACAACAACCTGTGACCTTTTATACTCAATGTTCGTGATATGATCATTTTATACATCGCTTGTGGAACAAGCCATGATACATTGCGCATATTCAATATATTGCAAATCCCTAATATATACCCTCTATTAATACCAGGTGGCCCCATATATCAGCAGGTATACCAGTGTAACCATTAGTTAGTGAAGCATCCCGTAACAGATCCAGCACTGTGATCAAAATGAGGCCTGAACTAGTACGGTGGCTGAGGCTGCGGAACTTACAATCAGCTGATGAGGGCGTCGCAGGAACCAGTTCAGTGGACTGATCACTGCTGATGGACACTTTGGTTCCCACAAGGTCTATCTTAGTGCTGCGGCATGTGTTGGAGCAGACTTTTGTATGCTGGTAGAAGTCCAGTTCACCTGAGTCCATGATCTTCCTGTGAAATGAAATATGATAAAAGGCACAACATCAGAATACACTACTTTATGTTTACTGACCGCCATGTCTGACGGAACAGTGTCATCCTGAGGCACACCAACCACTGAGAGGAAGGAAGAGATGGAAACAAATATGTTTGTGAAATTATAAAATAAGTCATCTATCACTCATTCTTGAGATTTGGGTCAAAACTTTATTTTGGTGGGTTTCTGATTTTTACTCTTCAGTTATGCTGGGAAATATATTCTAAAAACAATACAATATACACAATATATTTTTCTTATTTTATTGTTATTGAAATTGAAACCAAGCAAATCCAGGAGCATATCCATCGAGGAGAATTCGTAGACCAGAGATTTCACATCAATGACACAATCATTCCGATGGTGTCAGAGCAGCCAGTCAAGAGCTTAGGGCAGTCGTACAACGTGCACCTCAGAGACTAAGACCCGGACAGTCTACAGCGCGGATGAGCTCAAGTTAACTTGTACTAATTCAATTCATTCACTAATTCATCTTCACAAAAGACAGCGGCTGCAAGCTTGTTTTAATTTAATGTCTAAATAATTACATTTGAGAGGCAAACATGAAGCATATTGTGAATACTTACATACACCATCAACCAGAGACTGACATTAAGGAGAGGAGCAGCGATCAGCATGTACCCCAGCTGACCAACACACACTGCAGCATTAACCAAATTATCACACCTCTGTGGGGAAGAAATTAACCCTCTGCTCAGTCAGTTTTACATTAAAAACCCTGTTCCTGGCCTGCACAGTTTCTTGTCTTTCACCGGCGCTAACGAAGAGAGAGGCTGCTCGCAGCTCCTCTACTGGCATAACGTAAATAATAACATAGCAGCAGCGGCGGAGCACTCCACCTCCCCCTCATGTTATTCTCATACATACACAGGAGACTGTAAGGTGCTTTTAAATCAATTCATGAATTTATCAATGCAGTTAACTTTTTAAAATAAAAAGGATGTGGACCATTTATTATTGAATAGAACATGGATTGCATACTGTTTCAGGGGACATATTACAGTAGGCTATGCAAACACTGGGCCCTACGCAGGCGTGTGTTTATTCCATATATATGTATATCCCACAATGGACAAACATGAGCATCAGCAGATGGATACAATCTAACTGGCACCCCCTGGTTCAAAAGTGAGGGTATGGAGGTAGGTTGAAGGGGAAAGGGACCTGGACAAGAGCCACACTGTATGCAAGTAAAATAATCTGTTTATTTAATTATGGATCACCAAAAGTACAGTATGCTATATTTTAAAAGAAAGAGAAAAATAAATTGTGTGCTGAAATTAAACTTTATGATGCATTGTGATGCATCAATAATAGTTTTATTATCAAATCATTACCCTCTGACTCGTAATCGAATCGAATTGTGAGGTGCCTGGAGATTCCCACCCCTGTCCCTCCTCCTATGCCTGGACTATGAAACACCACTCCCTTCATAAGAGCAGGATAGCCCCCCGTGTAAAACCATCTGCAAGAGTGTAAACATCTCTCCTGGATACTACCCGGGACTGAAAAATGCAGCTTTCCACCAGAGTTTGCTACAACTAATCTCAGGCTGGACCTGATCTTGTGGTCAACCTCAAATAAGTCCTTGTACATTGTGGAACTAACAGTACCATGGGAAGCTGCAGTTGGGGCAGCTTATGAACGCAAAAGCCTGAAGTACACAGACCCAGCAGCTGAGGCAGAACAACGTGGCTGGCATACCCAGGTGCTCCCTGTAAGTTGTTGGGTGTAGAGGATTTGTAAAAATGAAAATAGCCCGCACATTGCAGGGCTCCTATTTAGCGAGATTTATTTCACCTAGTAGTGACGACGTGACTCGTCAGACGACGTGACTTGTCACTACTAGGTGAAATAAATCTCACTAAATAGGAGCCCTGCAATGTGCAGGCTTTTTTCCATTTTTTCAGTTTCAGACATTTCATTTTTTCAGTTTCAGACATTTTTGGCTCAGCACCTGCACGTTTTTGTTTGTGGATGTGCGTGTTTTTGCATTGCTTTGTAGAGGATTTGTAGCCACATCATCAACCAGGCTTCTGAAGAGTATGGGGGTTTGAGGACAGGCCTTCTGACAAGTCATCAAGTCACTATCAGAGCCTGCTGAGCGAAGCAGCAATTGGCTTTGGATGAAGAGGAAGGACCCAAACTGGTCCAACATGAGGGGTAAAGGCGGAGGGGGTGCATCTGAGATGCCAGGTGGCCCCTGAGCCCTCTGGAGGTGTTGCAGGCCTATCAACGCAACACCAATGAAGGAGGGTGCCCACCTGATGACCCCAGTGAAGTGATTACCCCTCTCCCACTCAAGACACCAGGTAAGAGCTGATTACTCTTAGGAATTCTAACAGCAAGTCCTATTAGCTCAACTTATAGTTCAATAAAATTAAAATTAAAAATATTGTAAAATGCATACTGAAGTTTCTATGTTCCTATGACATAGAATTAAATGCTTAAACAACAATAAACTTACATTAAACTGGCATAATATTCCTGTCAAACAAGAGTGATGAGATACATTTATTTCATTTCTGGTGTACTCAAAACATTTATGTTACTGTATTGTACCAAACTAAAAGTTCTGAGTGCAAGCTGTTTCTAAAAAAAATTTAAGAGTGAGAGAATTGGGATTTACAATGTACTTGGGCAGTATTCCCGCCTTTGTGAAAACCAGCAAGTGAGACTGGAGTCCTTAGGATATAGCTAGCCCCTTTTCTGCCTTATAAAATTGTTCTGATAGAAAACTGATAAAGATATCGCCCCTAATGCTCTGACTGCTCTGTTTGGTGTGTGGCCTTCACAATCACTTCACTGTTTCTTTCTCTAAAAAAGATTTAATTGCATTTACAACCCTGCTGGCCAGGAGGTTAATTCTGTTGAAATTGAAATCCACAGTCCCATCCACCTATAAGATATGGATCAAAGAGATGCTTTATTTTCTCAAGCTGGAGAAAATCAGACTGACCCTGTCTGGTAGAACTGATTCATTTGATGGGACTTGGAACTCTTTTTTGTCTTATGTGAACAGCACAGAATGTCAGATCTCTTTGGACTGAAATGGGAATTACAACAATGCACCTTGCATGAGATGTTTATTTTTTTATTTTTTTTTTCTTGCTATGTAACTTTCCAGCTTCTGTTTTTCTTGTGCTTGAATGGGGTAGGTGCCAGGGGTGGTAAGTGGGGGGAGAGGGATGTTGAGTCTTGTTGTATGGCTCTGTTAAACTGACAACTGTAACACAGAATCTGTGAACCACTGTATTTTTATGTGAAAAAAAATCAATAAACTGATTGTTAAAAAAGAAAGAAAGAAAACTGATGGCACTGACAACAATCAGCAACGCATCTTTAAAGGGCCAACATGTTCATAAAAAATATATTTTAGAACAAAGATGATTATAGCAAAGTACATTTTTACACAGACATTGTCAGTACTATTAGTGTTTGATTTTGAAGGCTTTTAACACATTTTTTAATTGAAGTTGTGGATTCTTGTCTGGGACAAGGCTGTTTTCTGGCCCATGGCAAGTTTAGAAATTAAAAGAAATGAAAGCAGATTAAATAGTTTAAAAATCATATTTATGTCATGCATTGAAAGCCTTTGAAAATAAGGTTTCACCCCAGAAATGGAATTAGTGTGTTAATGGTAAGTTAGAATTTTAAGGGTATTTTTGGTAAGATGATTTGTCCCAATTCTCAAGAATGGGTGATATACAATCTTGCACAACATTTGTTTGTCTCTGCTCTGAAATCCTCCTTCAACTCTGTCTATCTTGGTCTAATGCTGACATATTTTCATATTGTCATTATCACCATGTCAACATGCTAACTGGAAGCAGGTTACATGCTAATGAAACGTTAGCATGTTGACTGTAGGCAAGTTAATGCTGATTTAACTTTACATTTAATGTTTTCCTAGTGGTGAGGATCAATCAGAAATGTAAATAGCAAAGTTGGCTGAACACTGAACATGTCTGAACGATGATTCTGTTTAGATTACAGCAAAGAGGCACAAATGGAACTATGGATGTTTAGTCTTGGTACTAATAAAATATATTCAAATGGCTGCAGTGGCTCAGCCTGGTTTCCCTACAGTAATTCAGTTTGGCTAAAGCAAGCAGACTATTCTCAGCATGCCTGGAGTTCTTTGATGCAACCAGTGGTGAAAAATATATTGAAATTCTTTATTAAAGTAAAATTAGCAACACTGCAATGCAAGACCTTTCTATTAAAAGACCTAAATTGAACATTGTGCTGAAATAAAAGTATGGATGTATCGGCTTTAAAATGTTTAGTTTAAAAAGTAAATGGACTCATTCTCAATGGTCCCTTTCACAGAATGAAATTATCAATGTGTTATCTTAATCTTTAAAATCACAACAATTGACACAAATTCAATCCATCTCTGCATTATTTGTGACCGCTCAAATTTTGTCAAATTCCAACAATATTACTGCAACATTATCTAGTCTGGAGAACGTGTTTAAATGTTATTAATCACCAAAATAGTTAAAGGGTCCAAAAGTCAGTCAGAGTTTTCTGTGGCTCTCTTTTAACCTGGCTTGCTCGGCATGTGACTTATGCAGCAGACCTAACCTGGTAGGGACCAGTTTATGTTCAGAGTTTTGGCTTAAAATCTGCTAAAAAGCTCCCTTCACAGTTCCTCACGCTATAATAAATGAGAATATATGAGCAGCACAGATTGCTGACCACGGGAATCCATTAAAAATGCACTTTATTCAACTTGATGAGCTGTAACTTTACATAAATGCAACTGAACAAAGCCTTGCAATGCAATTACAGTAACCTCAGAGCTTGCTGTATGCATCGTGTCACTTTTTTCCCCCCTTTTTTTTCTTTAAGAACTACAGATGTTTGTAGTGTTCTCTAGTCCATTTGTCCACGCTGACTATAAAAGAAACCTTCTATAAAAATCACAGGCAGCACAATAGTTCACTATATTTTTAATCAGGATGAACTTGTGCTTGAAATGCGGGATAATTCCCTCAAATCCTACCATAATGTTACCACTTTGGATTATGTTTATATGCTTAGTTCTGACTTGCTGACATCTGTTTTCCACTGCTGGCACATTACAGCTAATTGATTAGTCTATTGGTATTTGTCACAGCTAATATTCAATCAGTAAAAATGATACTTTTTACTGATTTTGTGATTTGACTGACTTTGTGATTTGTCCAAAAATTAAAGTGACTTACACATATCCTTCGTTATGGGACAGTGTCAGACCTAAATGCAGCTCTTGAGTGTAACATTTAAATCTGCTGCATCAAGTTTGATCTTAAACAGCTTGAAATCAATTTTAAATGACATTCTGAATGCATCATTGATTCGTTTTATGTGAATGCACACTGAGCCTGAAGCAGAAAGCCTGGGACAGTTAATAATCATTTTTGTGTTAGCTGTTATCTCTGACTGAGGCTTTAAGGTTTGTTGAGCCAGCTCAGGCAAAGTAAACCTGGCTCACTTGAACTGGCTTTGTGGCACAGCCCTCTGGACAACAGCATTGGAAACAGATGGGTTTTGTTGAGTATATGCTGAATAACAAAGGAAGCTGTAGGGTCTTTATTCAATAATATCAGACCAAGTAAAATTCACTGTTAGAGTATTTGATGTGTCCAGACCTGAGCATGGTGCCGTTGAGGCGGATGGCTCTCTTCCAGTCCTTTAGAGTGGATTTCCCTGCTAAACACACAAACTCCTTCGGGCTGATGAGCTGTTCATTGAACTGATTAGGGAGGAAGTAAAAACTATCAGAAGCTGTTAATGATCCACTTAATCCTTAACTTAATCTACTTCTACTTTGAAGGAAAACCACAGTATTATAAACCTGGACCTTATTTCCCCTTGTTTTTGTGGCAAAGTGACTAATGGAGACAACATTTTTTTTTAAATTGGTCAAGAATTGAGAGAGAGCGCTGCAGCCCCAACTATAAAAACAGGCTGTTAATGTAAACCCTGCAGGTAATTGAGTACCATCAATTTACGACCAATAAAGTGCTTGTTTTTGCCACTGACAGGCTCAGATTGTTATGAGAAGTGTCTGACGACATTATGGAAAGGATCCCACAGAGAAAGGAAATTGTTTCCTGTACTTTTCGCTTGTTTCGGTCTGTTTTGTTTCCAAGTCTCACAAAAGAAGATGTCTCTTTCTGAAATCTCACAGCCTTTTTTACATCGTCAGAATCATCTTAACATTCAGCCATGACAATGAAAGTCTTTTAGGAAAAGCCTTAGGAAATCTTTTTGTGCTCCAAAACAACAAACTCTTCCTCTCTTAAACCCCCACTCCACTGTTTTTTTATCCTCCCACAAGTCAAATCTCTGTGCATCTCTTGACGACACACAATTGCCTGCAGGGATCACAACCTGTTTTGCCAATGTGGCTGCAGCAATGTCACTCAATACTGAACCAAGTGCAAAAACTTTATCTCCATTTTTCACAGACACAAAAACATAAGAAAATAGGGACCACATTGTAAAATACTAAAGTCTCCCTTTAAATGTGTTAGGGAATTAGATTTTAAACAAACTGTGAAAAACTGTAAAAATGACAGTGTGTACCTGGACACATTTCACATTGATTCCAGGGCAGACAAATTTCTTCCACACTAGCGTGGCTTTGGCATCTCCACAGGTGACTGGGTAGAAGACATCTGCTTCCACATCCACCTCCTCTGTTAATTTCACTGCAGAGACAGACAGAAAGACCCTCATACAACCATCCAGTCAATTCTTTATGTGATCATAATAACTGATGATATAAGAAGTATTTACAACATTATAAGATGATCTCATTTGGATCATAGACTGGGAGGACTGCACTGACTGAAACAGCAGTCAGAAACAACATTGCTGACTGCAGCAATGTTGTGATTTGTTCCACTGACTTCACAAAAACTTAGAATAACAGAACATCACAGATAAACTCTTCTCTTCTAAATTTCACCATTCTACTTTACATTAAACCAAGACTAAAGTTTAGATCAGCTGCTACTTAACAGCCACATTTTACAAAGCGTAATAAAGTCGTACAGGTCACGTTACCAATGACTGCCTCTTCTCTCGACATTGAATCTGTTCTGCTGGCCTCAGCTTCTGCTTCTACTGGTGCTACTGTGAGGATGCTCTCCCTGGAACAAGACAGAAAAAACTGCAATGTTTAAGTTTTCATTTAGCAAACTGAACAAGACAATCTCCTTCAAAATTCACATTCGGTTCCCTAAGTCTTTGCTTGTAACCACCAGTGTTGGGCTCATCACACTAAAAATATAATACATTACTCATTACTCTTTTCAAAAGTAATATTATTACTTTACTTATCACTCCCTGCCAACAGTAATGCCTTTCCCGTTTACACGTAGGAAAAACGCACATATTTTCATGTGGTTTGGCCTCTTGTTTACACGCAAACGGAGTTTTTTTCACGGAAAATGATCATTTGTAAAAACTCCGGCCAACGTGGAGATTTGGAGATTTCTGAAAACACCGTTTATGTGTTGCCGTCTAAACTGGGTGAAACGGGGTTTTAGGTTCTGAAACGTCACAGCATGCGCCAGCAAATGTTTGACGTCATGTGAGCGACCTATGTTTACACTTTGTTTGGCTACTGATCATGGATGCTGTTAAGGTGGTACTCATTTTTACGTTTGTGCAAAGCGACATTTAAGAGTAGCTCCACTTCACTGTCAGTCCACACAAACGAACCTCTCGCCATGTTTACTGTTTTGAAAGGAGCAGGAAGTCGCGCGTCTTATTCGTTGTTGTTGTCGATTCTGAGGATTCTGATTGGCATGCATGGCTTCATCCTTCTCCCTACACTGCCGCCCATAGGTTTGGCATAGTTATGACGGCGCTAGATGGCGTATTTATCCGGGTTCATGTAAATGACAACATTTTTGAAAACGATGTTGTGTGCACGATGTTATTATTGAAAACGGAGGGGGGAAATATTCATTTCTCTAAATACCCGGCTATGTGTAAACGTGGTGTTTGTGTAGCTAAGGCTGTTTGGCTTGCAAATAATTAGTTTTCATTTATTCATTTATTTATTTTTACCTGGGGTCTGCAGTTGCCTGTGACCAGTATCTTCTAGGGGTGGGGCAAAAAAAAAATCAATGCAGCATAATATCACAATATTTTGCGTGGCAATATTGTATCGGGAAAATGACAGCAAGTATTGATCTTTTATTATATTCATTATTAGTTTTTGCAAATACACATTTTAATACAACTTGTAGCACTACAATAAGAAAAATTAATTGCTTTTTCAGTCCATTAGATGGTGCTGATGTTTTTTTTCCTGGTGAGGTCAGCAGAGGTCTCAGTCAGCCGCATTTGGCGGGAAGTTCATCAAAACAAAGATGGAGGCAACGGAGAAATAAATCAGTAACGAGCCATCTGCATTTAAATCAAATGTCTGGAGTTATTTTGGATTTTTTGACACAGAGGAAAAGGAGGACTTGGACACGACACGTGATTGGCAAGCAGTGTCATATGAGAATAAAATAGTCTGGGAATACTATGAACATGAGGGCTCACCTAACACGCCACCGTCCAGAGATAACTTCAGTAAAGTTGGACATACAGTACAGGCCAAAAGTTTGGACACACCTTCTCATTCAATGCGTTTTCTTTATTTTCATGACTATTTACATTGTAGATTCTCACTGAAGGCATCAAAACTATGAATGAACACATGTGGAGTTATGTACTTAACAAAAAAAGGTGAAATAACTGAAAACATGTTTTATATTCTAGTTTCTTCAAAATAGCCACCCTTTGCTCTGATTACTGCTTTGCACACTCTTGGCATTCTCTCCATGAGCTTCAAGAGGTAGTCACCTGAAATGGTTTCCACTTCACAGGTGTGCCTTATCAGGGTTAATTAGTGGAATTTCTTGCTTTATCAATGGGGTTGGGACCATCAGTTGTGTTGTGCAGAAGTCAGGTTAATACACAGCCGACAGCCCTATTGGACAATTGTTAAAATTCATATTATGGCAAGAACCAATCAGCTAACTAAAGAAAAATGAGTGGCCATCATTACTTTAAGAAATGAAGGTCAGTCAGTCCGGAAAATTGCAAAAACTTTAAATGTGTCCCCAAGTGGAGTCGCAAAAACCATCAAGCGCTACAACGAAACCGGCACACATGAGGACTGACCCAGGAAAGGAAGACCAAGAGTCACCTCTGCTTCTGAGGATAAGTTCATCCGAGTCACCAGCCTCAGAAATGGCAAGTTAACAGCAGCTCAGATCAGAGACCAGATGAATGCCACACAGAGTTCTAGCAGCAGACCCATCTCTAGAACAACTGTTAAGAGGAGACTGCGCGAATCAGGCCTTCATGGTCAAATAGCTGCTAGGAAACCACTGCTAAGGAGAGGCAACAAGCAGAAGAGATTTGTTTGGGCCAAGAAACACAAGGAATGGACATTAGACCAGTGGAAATCTGTGCTTTGGTCTGATGAGTCCAAATTTCAGATCTTTGGTTCCAACCGCCTCGTCTTTGTGAGACGCAGAAAAGGTGAACGGATGGATTCCACATGCCTGGTTCCCACTGTGAAGCATGGAGGAGGAGGTGTGATGGTGTGGGGGTGTTTTGCTGGTGACACTGTTGGGGATTTATTCAAAATTGAAGGCACACTGAACCAGCATGGCTACCACAGCATCCTGCAGCGACATGCCATCCCATCCGGTTTGCGTTTAGTTGGACAATCATTTATTTTTCAACAGGACAATGACCCCAAACACACCTCCAGGCTGTGTAAGGGCTATTTGACCAAGAAGGAGAGTGATGGAGTGCTGCGGCAGATGACCTGGCCTCCACAGTCACCGGACCTGAACCCAATCGAGATGGTTTGGGGTGAGCTGGACCGCAGAGTGAAGGCAAAGGGGCCAACAAGTGCTAAACACCTCTGGGAACTCCTTCAAGACTGTTGGAAAACCATTTCAGGTGACTACCTCTTGAAGCTCATGGAGAGAATGCCAAGAGTGTGCAAAGCAGTAATCAGAGCAAAGGGTGGCTATTTTGAAGAAACTAGAATATAAAACATGTTTTCAGTTATTTCACCTTTTTTTGTTAAGTACATAACTCCACATGTGTTCATTCATAGTTTTGATGCCTTCAGTGAGAATCTACAATGTAAATAGTCATGAAAATAAAGAAAACGCATTGAATGAGAAGGTGTGTCCAAACTTTTGGCCTGTACTGTATATTCACAGATTTGGACTTTGCCGGTCAACAACTTATAAACGAAATATTGTTGAAGCACATACGACACTACTGTCTTACCTTGGTGAGGTAGACAACAAGCTACAACGTAAATTTCCTCAGAACAAGCCGTCTTTTGAGCTCGGCCAGTAACATTGATCTCTATGCACAACCTGTGAAACAAGTGCTCAGGGACGTCTACAAAGTGCAACACCAAAAAAGAGATCTTACAAAATTATTCAATAGATTCAATTCTATGCAGTGTAGTCTCCCCAAAATCACCTCCGACATTAATAGTCTCCTGCTGATCATACTACAACACTTAATTTGGAGGAATATGCTTTTTCATAAATTGGCAGAATTGTTCTGGAGTAAATTATTTAATAATGTTAAAACTATGCAGTGTAGTGTCCCCAAGATCACTTCACACATTAATGGTCTCCTGCTGATCATACTACAATACTTAATTTGGAGGAACATGCTTTTTCATAATTTTTTAGAATTTGTATTAAGAAAATTATTCATTAGATTCAATACTTTGCAGTATTGTCTCCCCCAAATTACTTCACACATTAATGGTCTCCTGCTGAGCATACTATACATAGCATACTATACTACTACAACACTCAAATTTTGAGGCATATACTTTTTCATAATTTTGCTGAATTTTTATTAGGAAAATTATTCAATAGATTCAATACTATGCAGTGTATGTCCCCAAAATCACTTCACACATTAATGGTCTCCTGCTGATCATACTACAACACTAATTTCAAACATCAAGAGACCATAATTGCTAAGTGAAACCACCTAGCTCTTAAAGATTTAATTATTTTTTTCAATCCTTTTTTTTTTTAATGATATTTTTAGGGCATTTTGCCTTTAATGGACAGGACAGGTAAGTTCTGAAAGGGGGAGAGAGAGAGGGTGGATGACATGCAGCAAAGGGCCACAGGCTGCAGTTGAACCCGGGCCACTGCGGCAACAGCCTTGTACATGGGGCTCCTGCTCTACCACTAAGCCACCGACGCCCCTTTAAGCAGAATCTTTTTTACTGCAACCACTGGAGAAAGTGTTTTTCTTCAACCCTTTACATTTTCTCATTTAGAAACTTTATCCAGTGGTTAGTAGTTGAAAACCGGGGTTCAGTCAGAGCAATTTATTGTAGTCCCAAAATAAACATAGCATAATACTGTAGAAATCATGTATGATGCTCCATTTGCTTGCCTAATATTTCTGTTGTTGTTTTTTGACATTGTTAAAGCATATTGTGATTTGGTCAAAGTGGTGAAACTCTGGATTTGTCGTGAATAAAATTATATTAAGAGAAGAGCCATCAAAACAAGTTCACTCAGTTAATCCTTAGCAAACTTACACAGAACAAATTCACACAGCCAAAAAATAAAAAGATACAAAGTCACTCAGCAGTGTTCTTGAGACATGAATTGAGACTCTGAAACAAGATTTTGACCAGGTTTAACACAATAAAATTACATCAGAAGAAAAAAACACTTCTTGAATATCTATACCACATATAAAACTGTACATTATTGATGAATAAATCCCCACAATCCTGATTTTGACATACATTAAAAAGAAAAATAGAATTACTGCTTTTATCTTTCAGGAATAAATATTTGCAGTCTGTATTGTTTTTTTTTTCTAATGAACTATAGACCATACACAGATGTTTATTTCAGTTGCACAAATTTTGCAACAAGTTTGACTTATGCCTGTCTGAAAGCAGCCATGGCTGGAGTAATGGGAATCTTCTATCTTTAAACATTTTCAATCCTTACATTCTCTAAACCCTCCAATCTATTTTAAGACTTTGCCAAACTCCCCCAAATTATGGAGAAGCATATTTCTCCAAGCTAAGTGCTGTAGTATAATCTAAATGAAACAAGTATTATTTGTGAAGTGATTTTGGAGAGGCTACACTGCACGGTATTAAAATTATTGAATAATTTCCCTCCCCAAAAAACAGCAAAATGATGACAAGGTGGGTGTTGCAGTATGATCAGCAGGAGACCATTAATGTGTGAAGTGATTTTGGGTAGACTACACTGCATAGTATTGAAACTATTGAATAATTTTCCTAATAAAAATTCAGCAAAATTATGAAAAAGCATATGCCTTAAAATTGAGTGTTGTATGTTCAGCAGGAGATCATTAATGTGTGAAGTAATTTGGGGGAGACAACACTGCAAAGTATTAAATCTATTGAATAATTTTTCTAATAAAAATTCTGCAAAATCATAAAGAAGTGTATGCCTCCAAACTGAGTGTTGTAGTATGATCAGCAGGAGACCATTAATGTGTCAAGTGATTTTGGGGACACTTCACCACATAGTATTGAAAGTATTGAATAATTTACTCCAGAACAATTCAGCCAATTTATGACAAAGCATATTCCTCCAAATTATGTGTTGTAGTATGATCAGCAGGAGACCATTAATGTCGGAGGTGATTTTGGGGGAGACTTTGTTGCACTTTGTAGACGGCCCCTGCACACTCGTTTCACACTTGGCTGTGCATAGTCATCAATTTTATTGGCCGAGCTCAAAAGACGGCTTGTTCTGATGAAATTTACGTTGTAGCTTGTTGTCTACTTTACCAAGGTAAGACAGTAGTGTCGTATGTGCTTCAACAATATTTCGTTTAAGAGTTATTAACCCGCAAATTTGGAATCTATGAATATATGTCCAACTTTACCAAACTCCAGAGATAGCATTAGCCGCTGACGGCAAAGCTAATGCTAAACCCACTCCGCCGAAAAATCTACACCGACCACACTTAGCTCGATAAAACTACCATCCAACTCTGAGAGAGTGAAGAAAATAACACAGTCCATCACCTACTTCATGTGCAAAGATCTGGGTCCATCCAGCGTTGTTGAAAACAAAGGCTTTTGTTACATGCTAAAAACACTGGAACCCAGGTACGTGACTCCATCCCCACATTTTTTCACCGACACAGCCGTATTCAAGCTCTACAAAGAAGTGAAGCATAAAGTTGAGGAATCTTTGAGTACAGCAGGAAGGGTGGCATTGACTCGCGACGCCTGGACAGTGGTCACCGGTCCACTGGTCAGTGGATTTATATGTGACAATAACAGCACATTATCTCACATAGGACTGGCGACTGCTGTCTCATGTTCTCCAAACTAGAGCAGTACATGAGTCACACCAGAGCAAACATTGCAGACCTCCTGCAAAATGCAACACAAGAATGGGGGATTGTGGTTATAACAGACAATGCTTCTAACATGGGTGTTGCCATTCAATTAGCAGGATACCTGCATGTGAAGTGTTTCGCCCACGCGCTTGATCTGGTCTCACAGAGGGTATTGGAACTGCCAACAGTTCAGTTTGTCAGGTATATGCAGCATTTCTGACAGGTTTTGTGACAGCGTTGGTCAGTCTATATGCTTTGTATCACATTTTGCTGCAATAAAAATGATTAAAATCAGATGAACAGACTGAAAACTTTGTCTTATGAGGTAAAACTGATGTTGACAAAGTTTTCCTTTGGGAAAATAATTTGCAGTTGGAACTAGGGTTGTCATGAGAACCGATACTTCGGTACCATGTCCATGCCAACACGCAAAAAATACGTCGGTACCTGTTTTTTTTCGGTACCGTAAGTACTGGATACAACTTTGCCCTCAGCGGGCTCTCTCGGCCACCATAGATATCTCCCCCTTAACCAACCGAGACCTGACAGGCACGTTTTATGTACTTACCCATTTGTAGTGCTAAATATTAATTCTCCAAGCGTTGGAATAATCACTGGCACGCGAACCCGTCCATCCTGGGCTTTGGGTCCAAACTCACTTCTTCTTTTTTGGGGCTTATTGGAGATTTGCAAACACGGTGCACTACCGCCACCAACTGTTCGTGTGTGGTTTGTATTTTGACGGGACAGCAATGGCCGCTGCACAACACGTCTTTTGGGTTTTGGTGTGAATACACATGTGCTGCCGCAACACTTGTGAATCGCTTGCAGTGTAAATGAGGCCTTAGAGTTAAAGTTAAAGTTTGAAACAGTTTTAATAAAGTAGTGAATTTAGAAATACATGAGTTCTGTTTTTTTATTTTTATCGTGGTATCGAATGAGTATCGAGAATCGTGGAAATTCACTGGTATTGGCATCAACTACTGAAATTCTGGTATCGTGACAAGCCTAGTTGGAACAAAAAGGTAATAAATCGCAATATATTTTATCGCAATACTCAGCATACCACTATAATACTGTTTTGTGATCTAAGTATCGTGATAATATCATATCGTGGGTCATATGGCGATACCCACCCCTAGTATTTTCCTGCTGTCAGTTGTAGCAGCTGAGGTGTTTCAGACCAGGGGCCGGTTGCACCAACAGGGCTTACGCCTGGCCTTAAGCTAAGTCGGTCATAACTTGGTGGTCTTAGTCCAACCTAATAGTTACACCGGTTACACCATCTAGGCTTAAACCTTCTTCTTACTAAGACCGGGCGTAAATCTTACGCCTAGTCAAAAACAGGTGCAAGGTCTCTGCGCTCTAGAGCACATGAGCGCAGCTTGATAATAGCATGTCTCATCCACTGTCTGTACAACGAGCAGGCATTTAGACGGGAGAGAGTGATTAGGGACATAAGCAATCCAATGGACGTAAATAATGACTGGGCTGAATAAAGGGCTGATTGAGAGTTTTCGATTCGGTAGGAGAGATCTATTTGAACTTACTGAAGAGCTGTCACCAGTTTGTGTCGGGCTGCAACGCAGCACTACCACCAGCCTTACAGTTGCTGATTGCACTCCGTTTCTATGGAAACGGAGCCTTCCAAAATACAGTCCTTCCAAATACAGTGTCCACAAATCTACTGCCTGTTGGGCCATCCACAGCTCGATTTTCTAATTCCATTGTCAGTAAAGTTACCCTTTCTTTTTCATTGATCCTCCATGTTTTCTTCAAATCTTAAACTGTAAATAAACTGTCAACACAGACCAGGCGTACGCCCTGTTGGTGCAACCGGCGTAAGTCCACTCCTTAAGACTGGTCTTAACAAAGACCGTCTTAGGAGTTACAACCGGGCGTAGTAAAGACCAGTTGGTGCAACCGGCCCCAGAGGTTTAAGGACGTGTTTTTCGCAGTGGAAAGGGTTTTAGTTCTACTACCTGCAGCAATGGTGTTCTTGTCATCTTTTCTCCCAGCAGAATCAAAGTAATGGGAATATTTTCAGCCGCTAAGGGAAGTGTTTCCATCTTTAAAACTAGCTTGCTGCTTTGTGATGTGCCTGTGCAGCACAACGATTATGAAAATGAGTCTGCTGATGTGACTTTTATGTTTCATGTCAGTAGTGATGTGATAATAAAAGTAACGTTGTAACAAGTTGTTTGGTTTTGGGGTAACTGGAATATTATTACTGAAATTGTATTCGTAATTACACTACTTACACTACTTGTTACTAGTAATGCGTAACTACCCAACACTGGTGACCACTAAGCTGTGTGCACAGTGTGTATATGTTACCCTGGCTGAGGGGTCAGCTCTGCAGTCACCAGCACTGCTTTATCCTCCTCCACCACAGAGGGGAGGTCCTCACCCACTGCTTCTGGTATGGTGACGATCACAACCTCACTCATTTCCTGCATGCTGACCTCTGATGAAGCCATGGAGGACAGACTGTGTTGAACAACAAATAGCATGACAGCAGAGAGGGAAAACCATTGTTATTAATATAATTTTTCATATTTAAGAAGCTGAATGATTACAAGAACAGGGTTTACATGATAACATTAAGTTTCCGAAACTGGCTACAACATTTTCAGACCAAGAGGCAAATTAAATAGACTCAGGAGGGCAACAGGCAAGAATGTGCAACACGTGAAATACAGAATGGGAGACACTAAAGACTGTACTGTTTAGACTTTAATAATGGGTAATACGAGCTTTGGGTAATGACAAGGTTATTAAACTTCAACCATACCCAGTGTTTACACTAATACAATGCCTTGCCAAACTATTCAACCCCTCTTGGAATTTTTTTTTTTACTTTGTTGCATTACTACCTGTAATCTAAATAGATTTTTATATTTGGATTGTTTTTTTAATGGACCTAAACAAAAAGTCAAAGTTAAAGTGAATTGAAAATAATAATCACCTTTGAAAAAGTTTTGAAAAATAAAAACTGAAAAATGGTGCATGCCTATGTATTTACCCCTTCTGCTATGATGACCCTAAATAAAACCTAGTGCTACCAGTTAGCTTGAAAAGTCACGTAATTATTCAAATAAAATCCACCTGTGAGCAAGTGTCACATGAACTCAGTGTATATCAGCCTGTTCTAAAAGGCCCCAGAATCTGCAGTATCAATAAGCAAGCTGCACCATGAAGACCAGGGAGCTGTCCAAACAGATCAGGTTTTGGAGAAGTACAAATCCGTGGTAGGTTCTAAAAAATACCTGAAACTTTAAATATCCCACTGAGCCCAATTATATCCACTATAAACATAATTAAAAAAAAGAATATGGCACCACAACAAACAAACGAGAAGGGCATTAATCAGAGAGACAACAAAGAGGCCAAAGACAACCCTGAAGGAGTTGGAGTACCTGTACAAATTACTTTGTACAGGTACAGGACTCAGATCAATATCGAAATAGTAGCAAAATTATAACTGACTCATAGTTCCAGCTGCACTTGTACATTTTGTATGTTTTGAATGCAAATCTATAATTTGTAAAGTAACCACTAGCTAAAGCTGTCAGATAAATGCAGTGGAGTAGAGGTAGATAGTGGCATAAGAAGAAAAGACTCAAATTTGTGCTTACAGTTACATTCCACCACCAGCTGCATCTTATGTTATATTATCTCCATGAGTTTGTGAGTATGACTTGACTTGTGACTTGCTTGACCTTACCGATGACTTGACTCGACTTGCTTGACTTGTAGCAAGGACTCGCTTTGACTTCCTTGATTTTCACCACAGTGACTTGGGACTTGCTTGAGACTTGAAGGATATAATCTGAGACTTGCTTATGACTTGCACATGTGTGACTTACTCCCACCTCTGCTTTATAGCAAGGGGATGAATACATACACACTCACCATTTTTCAGTTCACTTATTTTTCAGATTTTTATAAACCAAGGTTGTTGCTTTTTCATTTGACTTATCCAGTTTCGACTAGTTTCTATTGGTCTGTTACAAAAATAAATCTAAATAACAAAAGACTTAAATTACAAGATATAATACAACAAAATTGGATAAACGCCGAAATGAGGTGACTAAATTAGCAAACGGCTGCATCAGAGAGAGAGACAACACGGTGAATCTCCATCATTGTTCAGCTCGGACACACTGCGCATCCTCGGTCCTAGTTAACGTTACCTTGTTCAACAATCACAGTATCGTTAAAGAAAACGTGAAATCAGTCTTGTGTGAGTAGCATGTATGCCGTTAGGCTACCTGAGAGTATACCGTTACTCTACTAGTGAATATCTTGTGATGGCCTCAAGGCTGTAACGTTACTTCAAGACCAATTTAAACGTGTAACGTTAAGAGTTTTGAATGCAATTTGGTGTGCTAAGTTAGCTGAGACTGTGCGGGACCGCATGAGCCATAGGAATAAGGCAGTTAAGATATGCATAAGCCTTACCTTTTGGTCCTAATTTAAAAACGTCTTCAGTTGATTACTGTTGCCTCGTCTTGTGGATAAAGGTGAGGGTTCTGACTGTTAGCCTCGCAGACGAGCTAGCTAACAGGAGAGTTTCGCTCATAGATCCACTGAGCTAGCAGGTGTCGCCTTCATATCTCAAACACAACAGAGCTTCTTCAGCAGTTTGGGGGCTAACGTTACTCATTTAATGTCAGTTTCACACGATAAAATGTTCTTTCCCCCTATCATTCCTTCCTTTTTGTGCTCATTTGTGGATCTTCTTCTTCTTCTTTAGTATTACTGGCGAGCGACAGACAGACGTTAAAGGAGGTATGGCGCCACCTACTGTACCGGAGTCTATGATTTATGGGAATGGTGATCTCTGCTCTCAGACCTTGCGTCAGATGCTTGCCACATAACCATCCTGTTTTGAAATCTGATCATTGTATGAGATGGCTCTGTCTGCATCCTTTGATGATCGAAATTTAGTGTTGTGGAGTTGTGGCATCACTGCAGACTGAGGAATGTTCAGGAGAGTGGTCTGAAAGCATCACCCCTCTCCTACAAGGTCTAGAAGGGGAGTGGTATAGCAATTAACACCATTGACTTCAACTCTTGTTGTGCCCCCCTGCTTAGTGGTCCTGCTTCAGTGATAAATATCTTCTTACTGCATACAGTTAGTGTCAAGTCTTTCAACATGATAGTGCAGTTCATCAGCAGGGGAACTGAAAGATGTCAAGAGGCACTGGCCTGGGACTGGGAAATTCTGACACTGGAAATCTCTGACGCGGCCTTGAAGTGTCCATCTTAGACGGGTTTTGACAACTGCAGGTGACCCAGAAGGACCCAATCTGATGCAATGAGAGTGATGAAGTGGGTGTGATCTGAGCCTATGAGCAGCAGTGGTGAAGCTTTGTTAATGGATGGTAATGGATTTTTTTGTAGATGCTTGTATTTTCTTTGGAGGGATAGCACAAGATAAGTGTGGTCTGAAAGCATCACCCCCTCGTCTCCTACCATGACTCCGATCTCGTCAGTCAACAATAATGGCGCCATACAGATATTATCTGATAATTTCTGGAAACACTTAACCTAATCCTACCTTCCATCACATTAAACTGTGGCACAAATGGCAGAGGGACAAACTAGATCTACAGTTAAACTCCATTGTGATGACTGTTGACTCCCAATTACCAAGAGCCCGTTGGCCTGAAGGAAAGGTGACTCACCTCCTTCAAAGCAAAGATGGCCACATCAGGACAGCTGAAGTTGTTGTCAAAGACAAGTCCTATCTCAGACCTGTAACTCATCAGATTCTACTTCCTGCCCTCCCTGAAAACACAGTCTCTGTGGTAAAGATTTTTCTTTTTCTTTATTTTGACACTTTTCCTCACTTACCTCCCTTCCTTTACCTCATTTCCTTTTCCTGATTGGTTCCTTTCACATGTTCACTCATTAACCTGACTGAGCTCACCTGGGCCCTATTTCAGAGAGCAGGATTTGTGAAAACTCTGAGTATGTTCAGCCTGAGATGAGGAAAAGTCTGACTTTTCTGTTTCACAAAGCCAGTTCAGAGTAACCCTGAGTCAGTAACAATGGCAATATACTCCATGAAGCAAACCTGCTGAGTGGCAGGTTTGCTTCATCTAAGCCTGAGATTGATCGCCTGCTGAGTGTGTAGCAGGAAGGAGAGAAATGGCGTGTCCTCTTGTGAATTAAGTCATGGACGTTGAGGCACAATTTATTCAGGGGCTGTTGGTCATTAGACCCTGTTTGGATGTCTTATAATTCCCAGAGGAGTGTCTATGAAAGCTACAATTTCACCTCACACTCTACCATTTATCTTAACAATCTGTTCCACCCACATAGATCAAATATTACACATCGTGGATTCGCATTATCATCGGAGCAAATTTTATGCATTGCCCTTTGATTCTTCAGCAGCAACAGTTTTAAACATAACATCAGAGATACTGAATACATCAGCGAGGCAATGATTTGTCGGCTGTCAGAAAAGTCTCTGGCTCTGAAAAGACTTTTGCCCATTTTTGTGGTTTTCCCTGGGCATAAATCAGAATGGATCATCACAGAGGAATTCCACAGAACTAAATGAACAGAATGTAATAAACAACAAAAAGCATTAAGCACGAAAAGCAGTTTTATACACACACAAACACACACACACACACACACACACACATATATATATACATATACATATATGTATGTATGTATAAAGATAAGGTAAAGGAAATGTGTGCATATTTCCTCCTCCTTTTTGAACATGTAAGACTACATTTTTGTTGTTTATTACAATCTGTTCATTTAGTTTCCGTTCACTTTCAGTTATTGTTATTTGTCTCTATCTTTTTTGTTGTCTGTTTATCATAAATATCAATCAATCAATCAATTGATAGACAGACAATTCAGACAGACAGACAGAAAGAAAGAAAGAAAAGTGCTGCCTGGCAGACCACTCTCAGGGAAAATCTATAAAGGAGTATTGAGCAGTACAGCAGTTTGGTCAGCCACGAAGAAGAAGCAGACATGCGCACCAGTGCGCACCGCTGTGGGTACGTGAGTCTATCGCTCGGCTGGTTATAGTTAAACTCAAACACAGTTATTGTAGTGGTGCCTGAGAGGTAGTTTGTTGTCATACGGAAAAATGGCCAACTCTGCCTGGTCAGAAAAAATACTCCAACTCCTCCGCCGAATGAATAACTTTTATTTACCAGGTATAACAGTTACTGTGACACTGAGTGAAAATACAACATGCGGTCGACCGAATGAAAGGTTGTCTTTTAAAATAACTACTTTCAACCTGTTCCCACAGGCTCCTGTCGTGCTAACTGCTTTAGGTTTGAGATAAACGAAGCACAGGTGGGCTGGATTCCTCCCCATGTAGCTTCACTGTTGACACGGTATCCAGAGGTGTTCAGCCCGCCACACGTTGGCGCTGTGTCACTGAATCCCTGCCTGGACTCATACGACATGAGGTCTGAGGCTGTGGACGCTGTCCTGCAAAGACTGAGACAACACAGCTCCCTAACCTGCCTTAAAGGATGGAGAGATGAGGTGAGACAGGACACACACACACACACACACTTCTGTTAGTTATAGCTCGGATGCATGGATTTTGGTAATATGAGACTCAATATCATCATCATGGGTTTTTTTTAGGCCAACCAAGTTTAAGGTTCAGTGTGATAGATTTTGGGGGATTTAGTGGCATAGAGAAGTGAGGATTGCAGATTGCATACCAGGAGCTGAATTATCAGCAAAGGTCTCTTCCTCTCCAAAACAAACAAGCCAGGGCTTTAAACTGGCAAAACACTGAATAAAGCAGTTGAACTTTATAAATCAGTGTTTCTCTGACACTCTTAGGCATGCGAGAGATGGGAGGCTATCCAACCATATGCTAGTCTTTGCTCACCTTTTTACTGATCCAGATGTTCAGGAGGTTTTTACTGGGATCTGAATTATCAGCAGAGGTCCCCTCCTCTCCAAAACAAATAGATCCTGTGATTTAAAACAGTAAAAACACTGAATAAAGCAGTTTCACAGTACAAATCAGTGGTTTTCTGATGCTGCTCATTGCGGAGAGGCCTCTAACTATGGTGGCCAGTGCAGAATCGTGAATGACCCTGTCTAGCGCTTGCGTTTGCTTTGTCCGTTCTGGACTACTGGTGCAACATGGCTGTCTCCCTAGATGAAGACCTGCTCCCTTTATAGATAGAAAGAGCTCAATCTAAGGTAACAAAACATAACGATTTTTATTTTGAGGTGATTATACACTATGAAAATATACTTCATATTCCATTACTGCCAATATGTCCCCCTAAATCCTACACACTGAACCTAAACATCGACCCGGTTCCTTTGACAAAATGACACTAAATGGGAGTTTTCCATTGGATTATGTATTATTGCAACAACAACAAAAATCAGCTCTGTTGCAAACTTAATAATTACATGTTTTGTTCAGTAAGATAATCTTCATAAATGAACACCACTTATATGATTTTTTTTTTTTTTTCAAGATGAGACTGTAAAGCGGTGTTCACCATGACGATGTTCTGTAGTCTGATTTAGCCACTTGTTTGCTACAACTTTTTTTAAGACTTCAAAAAAAGCTTCAAAATTGGGGCAGGTATGTAGCCTCCAAAAGACCTAATAGTTCTTAGCAGTTCCTCTGGAGAAAGCTCAACATGTTTGCCTTCTCAGGCAGAAGTCGGAACCTCTCCTGGCTTATAGTGTTCCCTGCAGTTGAAAAAACCCTCTCGCTAGGGGTGGAGGAGGCTTGAGCACAGAGGTAACTTTGCAATTTTTGTGAGGAGGGGCAGAGTTGCTCTCCTCTCCCACCACCACATCACAGGCTCTTCAGCCATGAGGGTGGAAGGTAGGCCTTTGTAGAGCTCGACCTCCAAATCAACACGCTCACTGAGGGACAAGGTGTTCTGTTGGATGATCAACCTCAGCTCCCTGTCTTCCTCTGAGAACAGCTCCTCCAAGGCACTTCTCTTTGTATTGTACAATGATGAAGTGTTTGGCTCCTCTGTTACTTCTCCTCTGTTTCATTCAAACTCCTCTTGTTGCTGCTGTTGTGTGTCCATCTGTTCTGGCCCCCCTGACAGCGCTGGTGTTGCTCCTGTTTGTTTGTTTGTTTATTAGGATCCCCATTAGCTTTTGCAGTGCAGCAGCTATTCTTCCTGGGGTCTAGCACAGGTACATACATATGTACCAAGGACAGTACAAACAATACATTAAAGCTCCTCCATTTTAATCTATCAGCTTTTAGAAGTGTCATTACAACAAAAGCCCCTTTTCCACCAACATTTCCAGGAAATTTTATTACCAGGAATTTGTTTACCTGGGTAAAAGAATTCCTGGTAATCTGTGTGGTTTGTGTTTCTACCTCAGCTCAAGTTCCGGAAACTTTATTTAGATTAGCGTGATGACGTAGATGATTCGGCGTGTGCCCTGTATTTGGCTCCGCCAGCTTGGCTGGTTACATGCTGGTGTAGAGAGTAGGGGCTGTTTGTCTCTTAAGACTTAAATCTTTTAAGATACAGTACAGGCCAAAAGTTTGGACACACCTTCTCATTCAATGCGTTTTCTTTATTTTCATGACTATTTACATTGTAGATTCTCACTGAAAGCATCAAAACTATGAATGAACACATGTGGAGTTATGTACTTAACAAAAAAAGGTGAAATAACTGAAAACATGTTTTATATTCTAGTTTCTTCAAAATAGCCACCCTTTGCTCTGATTACTGCTTTGCACACTCTTGGCATTCTCTCGATAAGCTTCAAGAGGTAGTCACCTGAAATGGTTTTCCAACAGTCTTGAAGGAGTTCCCAGAGGTGTTTAGCACTTGTTGGCCCCTTTGCCTTCACTCTGCGGTCCAGCTCACCCCAAACCATCTGGATTGGGTTCAGGTCCGGTGACTGTGGAGGCCAGGTCATCTGCCACAGCACTCCATCACTCTCCTTCTTGGTCAAATAGCCCTTACACAGCCTGGAGGTGTGTTTGGGGTCATTGTCCTGTTGAAAAATAAATGATCGTCCAACTAAACACAAACCGGATGGGATGGCATGTCGCTGCAGGATGCTGTGGTAGCCATGCTGGTTCAGTGTGCCTTCAATTTTGAACCATGAAGGCCTGATTCGCGCAGTCTCCTCTTAACAGTTGTTCTAGAGATGGGTCAGCTGCTAGAACTCTGTGTGGCATTCATCTGGTCTCTGATCTGAGCTGCTGTTAACTTGCGATTTCTGAGGCTGGTGACTCGGATGAACTTATCCTCAGAAGCAGAGGTGACTCTTGGTCTTCCTTTCCTGGGTCGGTCCTCATGTGTGCCAGTTTCGTTGTAGCGCTTGATGGTTTTTGCGACTCCACTTGGGGACACATTTAAAGTTTTTGCAATTTTCCGGACTGACTGACCTTCATTTCTTAAAGTAAAGATGGCCACTCGTTTTTCTTTAGTTAGCTGATTGGTTCTTGCCATAATATGAATTTTAACAGTTGTTCAATAGGGCTGTCGGCTGTGTATTAACCTGACTTCTGCACAACACAACTGATGGTCCCAACCCCATTGATAAAGCAAGAAATTCCACTAATTAACCCTGATAAGGCACACCTGTGAAGTGGAAACCATTTCAGGTGACTACCTCTTGAAGCTCATCGAGAGAATGCCAAGAGTGTGAAAAGCAGTAATCAGAGCAAAGGGTGGCTATTTTGAAGAAATTAGAATATAAAACATGTTTTCAGTTATTTCACCTTTTTTTGTTAAGTACATAACTCCACATGTGTTCATTCATAGTTTTGATGCCTTCAGTGAGAATCTACAATGTAAATAGTCATGAAAATAAAGAAAACGCATTGAATGAGAAGGTGTGTCCAAACTTTTGGCCTGTACTGTAAGTGTCAAACTAAGTTAGTCTACATACAGATAGCTGTCATTTGGGCTTATTAGTAACAATTCACTATCAGCTGAACTAGCATGCTGTCCTCATGTAAGACATAATGTTAGTGTCAGTGGATGAGAGACTGTGGACGGAGCATATTGAATATCGCTGTCTACATGTTTACATGTTCATGCTTGCTGAACACATGTATTGATAAAGTATTGGCTTCTTACTCGCTAAGGTTTAATGTCACTTACAGCAACAACTGCGGTCAACTCGAGCCATTTTCAAGTTATCTTCACTTTGTTTCCATCGCGGCCGCTTGGCCGTTCACCGGTTACCGTGTCGCATTGGTGTGTGTGTAGATGTGTGTAGAGGAGATCAGTGTCGGCACAAAAGAACCGATTACATTAGCGCTTATCAATACTAAGATCTTTAATAATTTAGTACCGAACTTCCGGTTGCACGAGGGTGGAGATGGCTGCGTGAGAACTTTGCTCCCGACCGCACTGCCGCAAACTCCCATATAATACAGGAGATTTACCTTATAGGAGTTCAGTAATATAAACTAATGTTGGGAGGAGACGAACGTGGCCTCAGTATGTCGCTAAGAAGCAAAAAAAAAAGGAAGCTGATACGGAAAACGCAGGCTGTAGCGACGAGGTGGCTATGCTAGGTGCGGTCTCGTTAGCTTCCATCCGTAACGCCATAAATGAAGCCATGGCTAGTGCTACGTCTGAACTGGAGAACAATATCTCTAAACAGTTCACAGGCTTCCAGAGCAACATTCAAGAGGATATCAAAAAACAACTTGGCGAAATGAGATCGGATATTAATCTGAAGATGGAGGAGACCGTGAAGAAAATTGAAGTGGTGTCACAGAGTCTGGGGGAAGCAGAGCAACGGGTAGGAGAGGTGGAGACGTTCAGTATTGAAGTGCATGAAACTTTAAACCAGATGCAGAGGACGCAACTCGAACTGAAATCAAAACTAACCGAACTCAAAGGGCATTCCCGTCGCAACAACATAAGGATTTATGGCATAAAAGAAGGAGCCGAGGGCACCTCAGTGATTCGCTTCGTGGAGAACCTTATTCAAACTGAACTGGGAGAGGGCACACAGAGCTCCCGGTCCCAAACCAGCTGACAATGCCCCCCCAAGATCAACCATCGTTAAATTCCCGAAATATTCAACCAAAGAGTGGATCATCAGCGCGGCGTGGAAAAAAACTATCACAGTGGACGGGAATAGGTTTTTTTTCGACCGTGACTACGCAACAGCTGTAATGGAAAAAAGGAGGGAATACCTGCCGATTAAGAAAGTACTGAAAGAGAAGGGAATCAAGTTCCGCACACCGATGACAAAAATGCGTGTTTTCCTAGACTCGGGGACAGTTACATATGATAACGCGGATCAAGCCGGAGATGATCTACGAGCAAAGGGGTTCCCGGTTCCTCCGAGACCCGAGGGCAGATCAAGGGAAATGTCACGGCCCCACTTCAGCTGGGAACAGGTGAAAAGACCCCAGCGCACAGACGGCAGGGAATATCAGCAAAGGATCCGGGACAAGCTCCGCGAGTTTCATCGGGGGACCGACACAGAACCTGAGGACTGTTAATTCGTATCACCCCATCATAACACCAGCTTTCTTGTACACCCGGTGACGT